ATATATTTTTTTTTTTTTTTTTGAAAATTTGCTAAAATTGTAATAATCAGCTTTTTTTTTTTTAAATGTTCATTTTTTTATGTATTTAAAAAAATATATATATATATATCAATAAAATCAAATAGAAATTTCGTTCAAAAAATGAAAATGAAAATGTTTGACCCCACTTGTAAATAATTATCAAAAATTTTTATAACAAACAATTAAAAAATATGTCCCTAAAAAAAAGTGTTAAACTATAAAAAAAGTAAATTTGAATCTCATTTCCTCAACCACTAAAAATAATCATCAATGCATATACTCATACTTATAATTACTTAACGGAACAAAAGTTTCTTTGATAGCCTGAGGCGACGACCACCTGTGTAAATAAATAGGTCCACCAGCCTTGTCATTGGTCCCGGACTTGCGATGTCCACCAAAAGGTTGTTGTCCAACGACCGCACCAGTAGACTTGTCATTAACATAGAAATTTCCCGCAGAATACTTGAACTGTTCAAGAGCTTTGGCGGCCCATTGGAGATCTTGGGCAAAAATAGCGCCTGTGAGGGCGTAGGGGGTGCTTTTTTCCACGAGCTGGATCGTAGCATCCAGATCGCGGTCCTGGTAAACGAAAACAGTGAGCACGGGACCAAAGATTTCTTCCCGCATCAGCTTGTCCATGGGATCAGTCGTGACAATGACAGTGGGACGTACAAAGTACCCGGTGGAGTCGTCGTAAGTTCCTCCAGCGATTATTTGGGTACTTGGGGAAGATTTAGCGTAGTCAATGTATGAAGTGATCCGTTTGAAGGCTGCAGCGTCGATTACTGCGCTGGTAAATACTGAGAAGTCATCTGGAGGTCCCAGTTTTAGTTCCTCTGCAACGGAGACCAAGCGCTCGCGGATTTTCGGCCACAGAGAATCAGGTACGTACATTCTGCTGCATGCTGAGCATTTTTGCCCGCTGTACTCGAACGCGCTTCTTATTGTCGACAGTGCGACGTGTTCTGGTTCGGCTGATGGGTGAATAAAGTGATAGTTCTTCCCACCGCATTCCCCGGATAACTTTGGATAATTATTGTAGCTCTGGATGTTGGCGCCTACTTGAGACCAGAGTCTGTTAAAAGTCCCCGGAGACCCGGTGAAGTTAATCCCGGATAAATGTTGAGACTGAGTGATGGTGTCTCCAAAGTCAGGACCGTCTGCTGGAATGAAGTTCACCACTCCGGCTGGTACTCCAGCTTCCCGGCAGATTTTGAAGATCGTCCAGCTGGATAGCACCGCGGTGTCTGAAGGCTTCCAGAGCACTGAGTTCCCCATCAGAGCTGGGGTATAAGCCAGGTTCCCGCCGATTGCAGTGAAGTTGAACGGTGAAATCGCCGCGATAAATCCGTCGTGCCCTCGGTGCCTCAGGGTGTTGATCGACTCGTTTGTTGAGATTGGCCGGTATTTCAGGGACTCTCGAAGAAAATACGCGTTGAAACGGAAAAAATCTACCAGCTCAGCTGCACTGTCTATCTCTGCTTGGATCACTGTTTTACTTTGGCCTAGTATGGTCGCTGAGTTTAACTCTTGTCGGTATTTGGTGGACATTAGGTCCGCGGCTTTCATCCAGATGTCGATCCGCTTGTCCAGTGGAACTGAGTCCCAGACTCGCTGAGATTTTACGGAGGTTTCTATGGCTTTTTTTATGAGATCAGGACTGGCGTGATAGAATTTTGCGATTTTTTTACTGTGGTTGTGAGGCTGTGGAGTATAAAAGGTTAATTTTTTAGAAATTTTGATTGTAATTTAGAAGTTTGAGAGTAAAAGGTAACAATTAGAATTTTGGATCTTGCTAAAATTGAAAAAAATTTAATTTGTGTAAAATTTAAAGTTGTTTCTTTTTTTTAGACAATTTTGAATTTGAATTATGAAAAAATTTTTTTGTAATTAAATTTAATCATTATTTGGAAAAGTAAATGATTTTTTATTTTTTGGGTTAAATATTAAAAGTATATAAAAGGTAAGAACTATTTTGAAAAAAATTAAATTTTATGTTACAAAAATTCTTATCATTGAAATTAGTAGATATCTAACAATTTTAAGGATTTCTTTTATAGAAAAAATTAAAAGAAAAATTTCACATGTAAAATACTTGAAAAATTTTAAGTGCAATTTTTCAAATATATTTTTTCAGTTCTAATTTGGTAAATGAAAAAAAAATTAAAAAAACTGTTGAACGTCTGCTAATTTCAGTATTATTTTTTTTTTTATCTTATTTTTTAATCGAAGTTTCAATTTTTTAATTAAATAAAATTAGAAATTCAATTCTTCATAAATTTCAGAGAATTAATCTTGGAAAAATTTATTTAAATTTGTACCGTAAAAATTATGTAAAAGTTTTATACTGAAATTTCATAATATTTCATGTGATTTTATGAAATTATTTTCATGAATTATAATAAAATTATAAAATCGAGTATAGAGACTTAATAAAATTTTATAAAATTGATTAAAATTTCACAAAACAATGTAAAATTTTTCAGAAGTATTACTTTTATTTCTCGTTAATAATTTTATAAGAAATTTATAAAATTTTAGTACCAAAATTACACTAAATTTTATAAAAAAATTTTTTCGGAGAATATTGATATCAATTTAACAATTTTGTCTTCTATTAAAAATTATATAAAAAATTAAAGATCCAAGTGTAAATTTTTCAAAAAAAATCTCCTATTAATTGTAAAATTGTTACCATTTTAATCTAATTTTTAAAAAATTCACTTCTCATAAAAAACTTACCATAACTTGATACTTGATTCGATCGGTGCGTATTTCTTCGTCGCCAATAACAATAGGTATATCTTGACATTCTGCCGATTTAATTTTCAACGCTTCAATCAAATCATTGCGTTCCTTACTATCTTTTTTATAACTGAGCATAGGTTCATTAACTAGAAGAATTTCCCTAACATTGACATCCTGAACAATTGATAAATTTTTTCCGTGACTTAGACATCTTGCTCCGCATCTAAAAAAAACAGTAGATTAATCAATAATAAAAATCAGTTACAAAAATATTCAACATTCATACTCAAATTTACGCGTGGGCGGATGCCATACGACTTTATTTTTAAATGCGTAAAAAACTAGACAGAAATTTTTCAATTAAATTACCACTAAAATTATGAAAAATTAAAGATATACTTACTTGGAAACAAAACAATTAATAGAATGTTTAACACTCAACATTATAAAAAAAAAAATTAAATATTTTCTCTAGATAAAACTAAAAATTTCAGCGGTGCCGGTAAATTAATTAAATATTTGCATACGAGATACGTCGAACAAACACTTGTACAATAGTTACATGTTTAAATATACAGTATAATTTTATTACACGGAGCCGTCACAATTTTTAAAACTATAGTAATTTTATAGACACATTCCAGACTATCAGTATTATATTCAAGAAGAAAATTCTGATTGAATTTAAAAACAGAATTTAGTGTGTAATGTAACGGTACGTCAAACCGGTCCCTTAGATTTAACCCAATGTTGCTTACAAATGACTTAACAGAGACCTTACATACACACACATTAATACACATTGTTCTTTTATTTTATATTTATGTTTGGTAGAAGCGTTCACGGTGCGTATGAGAGGAAATCAAGAATAATAAAAGAGAAAGATGAAACGTGGCAAGTAATTTAAACGCCAATGACTCCAATTGTTAAATTAATTTTATACTAGTGATAAATAAGTCGTAAAGAATTATTTTAACTCAGCGATGATAACTTAAAATTTTTAAAACTTAAAAATCAATAAATTTTTTTTTACCACAAAATTTCTTTAAAAAAAAATTCTACAGTTTATAATTAAAAAAATCTAATACAAAAGTCATTAAAATTCTTAATAATTAAATTTATTGACATCTAATAATTAAAGATGAGCATGATAAAAAAAAACATCTTTCATGACATGATAATTATTTATAAATACAAATTTAATTGTCTTCCTGCTGCATTTGTAATTCCCTCAGCAATTGAGCGCGTTTGTTCTCCAACTCATCTTCAGAAAGTTCCTGATGCTGAGACACTTCCTTGTGCCCACCATTAGCAGGAGCTTCAACAGCAGCAGCAGCAGCAGCAGCAGCAGCAGCAACCGCAGAGCCTGACCTGGCCCGCTTTTCTTCCTTCCTCTTGCGCTCGCTGGGCGGCGTGTCTTCCTCCGAAGACGGCATCCGAGAATGGGACCTAGAATGACTGCGAGCGCGTTTCTTCTTGCTCTTTCTGGGCCGCTTGGACCTCTTGCTGCTGCTTTCAGCAGTGGATTCCGAGCTGTCGTCAGACTTGCTCTGGACACTCAACGACCTGGACTTCATCCTTTTTTTCTTCCCCCGTTCATTATCATCATTAGCAGCAGACTGTTCACTGTAAGGACTCCTGGACCTGGACTTCCTCTTGACCTTTTTAGGTTTCTTCTTCTTGCTCCTGATATGGTGATGACTGCAGCTTTCTTCCAGCTCATGCTGGTATTCCTTGAATATCCTCAGCCTCTCGCTCTCGCTTCCAATAGCCTTGAAATCACCGGAGTCTTCAATCTTGGGCCTGACATCGTCTTCCCAGCTCATCTGGTAGTCAACCGGTAGACTCTTCAGCAGAGTTTTAAAAGCAGCCTCCAATTTCTTGAACTTCTTAGTTTCTTCTTTAACCCGTTCCTTTTCCCTAGCCTCGGCCTTCTCCAGGAGCAAGTTATAAGTCAGCTTGACATTCCCGGCATCCAGAGTCGCCGATTTGCGGTCTTCGCACACGACAGTCGCGAATTCTTCAAAAGTAGTGTTAACCTGAACATCAAAGCCCTTGTCCTTAAGTATCTCCCGAATGATCTTCTTCTCATCATGGAACCTGGACTTCAAATCCTCGACATAGAATTTAAACAAGTCCAGCGGCGTGGAGCCAGGTTGCCCGAGCATCGTCGAGAACCGAAGATCAGCAGACAGCATGGGATAGAGCTCCACCCAGAGCGACATGGAAGTAAGCTTCCCTTGCTCATGAAGTTCATCGAGCAAACTGATGAACCCATCACGATTTTTCCGCTCCTGGCGTTTTCTCCTCTTCTTCTCGCGCTCCTTCTCCTCCTCCTCGTCCTTCTCCAGCTGTCTTATATGATTATCAAAGACCTGGAGCGCATCCTCTTTGTCCATCTCCAGCAGATGGGCGTCTTCTGCAAAAGGCGAGTACTGCAGCAGCAGAGCTTGGGCTTCTTGCCAAGTTGTGCGATAAGTAACATCAGTCATAGTATCCAAGACCTGGGCCAGCTTCTTGATGTTCCGCTTCTTCAGCTGCTTAGCTTCCTCTTTCTCACGCTTGGCCAGATTAAAGATAACGTCCTCATAGATATCGCGTCGGTCTGGGTCACCAACAGCGCGCCATATTTCCATCCCGCCGTACATTTCTTCGCACTTGTAGTACTTAGTGTAACTGGTCATCTTTTCGTTGTCTAGCAAAAACTGCTCGAGGTCTTCCTTGGCTTTCTTGAGTCTTAGTCTCTCCTGCTCCCGTTCTTCCTTCAGCTTCTGGGTCTTGTAGGCGTTGAAGGCCTGCTTACGCTCATTCAGCTTCTTCATTTGCGGATACCGAGGGTCGTTCTGGATCATTTTTACGGCCTGCTCCCAGGTAGCATTGGAAGGAACATCGCGTTCCTTGAGAAGTTCTTTGAAAGCTTCGATGGCTTCCTTCTTGTCTTTGAACTGTAATTTAGGTTCTGGAGTGCTCGTGCGACTTCCAGCTCCGCTGGCTCCATTGGCAGACCCCTTGGCGGAGTTATTGCTGTCCTCATCTGCAGCTACTAATTTACTGGATGGTGCAGTAGAAGTGGTGGCAGCTGTCGTGGAGTTAGCTGTTGTTGTGCTGATGGTATTCGGAGGCGTGGGAATATCTATGGCAGCTAAAGTTGCTTCTATGGCTTGATCAATAGCTGATTTATTACCATTGGTACTATCTTGGCTGGACTTACTGGTCGGCAGTGGCGCGTCTCCGTCAATCACTGGCGCTGATTTGGTACCAGCGTTCGCTTCGTCGGCGATTATTTTGTTCTTCAAGTCTTCCAATTCGCTTGGAATCGTCCATCTTGACTCTTTTGTTGCGACATTATGGTAATAGATTTTACCATTCTCGGATTTGTACTCTTTCCAGGGGCACTGGGACAACAGAAGTTCGTTGGGAGTCTTTAATTCGTCTGGTTTTTCCCACAAAGATTGTTTTGTGGTTGCGTTGTAGTAGTAAGTTCTGCCGTCTGGTGCTTTGTGTTCAGACCAGTCGCTTTTTTTTACTGTCACTGGTACTGATGAGTCTGCTACTGCTACGACTGGAACTGTTGGTGGTACGGAAGGATCAACTGCTACTGATGGTGCTACTGGATTTACGATCGCGCTTGGAGTTATTTGTGGAGCTGGAAATTTTTTAATTGTGTTTATTAGTAAAAAGTTATTTTTATTTATTTGGATATTACTAAGGTTGAAGAATATTTGAAATAATTTTTAAAAATAAAAAATTGGCTAGATTTATGGAGTTATAATTTCAAAGCAAAGATTAAAAAAAAATATCATTTAATATTATTAATTATAATTAAACTTATAATTAATTATAATTATAATTATAATAAGAAATATTTTGGTAATTTTAGAATTTTAATGTGAATAAATAATTTTATATTTTATTTATTCACAATTAATAATAATAGAAAAATAATTAATAATTAACTAGCAACCTTGCAGTCACTGTGTGACTACCGTGACTTTTGAACTATAAATAAATAAAATCTTGCTTCATTAAATAATAAATTTTGTTAAATTGCACTATACTTTCTTAAATATTGACGTTTTTAAAGATATAAGCTCATCCCGATGTTACACTCATCAAGAGCTTTCATTTGAGTACCCACATGCATTTTGATATATTTTTCATATATTCATATATATATATATATATATATATAGTATATATAGATATATAAAATATATGAAAAATTGATGTGGGTATTCAAATGAAAGGTCTTGATGAGTGTAATATTGGGATGAGTTTGTATCTATAAAAATGTCAATAGTTTACAAGATATAAACTTATTTTTCATATATACATATATAATATATATATATATATAAATATATAAAATATATGAAAAATTGATGTGGGTACTCAAATGAAAGCTTTTGATGAGTGTAACATCGGGACGAGCTTAAATCTTTAAAAATGTCAATAGTTCACGAGATACAATCTCATTTCTTAACTATTGACGTTTTTAAAGATATAAGCTCATTTTGATGTTACACTCATCGAGACCTTTCATTTAAGTACCCACATGGCATTTTTTATATATTTTATATATGTGGTATTTGTGAAATATATAAAATATATGAAAAATTGATGTGGGTACTCAAATGAAAGCTTTTGATGAGTGTAACATCGGGACGAGTTTATATCTTTAAAAATGTCAATAGTTCACAAGATATCAGGTCATTTCTTAATTATGTATCTAGAGGTAAAGTATTTTCGAATGCAGTCTAAATACTTATTATACTAAATTGACTATTTTAGAGACAAAATTTTACTTATTCTCTAAATAATATAGATGATAAAAAAATAATAAATTTTAATTCACTCCATTTTATTATGATACTGAAATGAGCAGACATCTGACAATTCTATGAATTTCTTAAACAAATTATTATAAAAAAAATTCATATTTAAGAATTTAAAAAAATAATTAATGAAATATTTTCTTGGCACTAATTTATTTTTAAAACGGTTGTGTCTGCTAATTTCAATATCACCATTTAGTTTATCAAAAACTGAAGATTGTCTACGGCAATATCCACAAATTTACCAAAAATAAACCATACCTATGACACCAGCTTCGTGATGATGAACATGATGAGGTGGTGCACTCATCGGGAACCCATACGCAGGGGGCGGAATTGAATACTGCGAAGGTATGATACCCGTAGGTCCAGAGGTAGAGTGAAGCGACGGTGGAATAAAAGACGCTGCGGGTATCATGGGCGCTACAAAACCCGGAGTTGCTGTCGGGAATCCTGGAGGCTGTGGTATCACCGCTGCAGGAGCAGGATTCGGAGGTATGCCTTCACTCGACGACTGAAAATAAATGTTATTGTAATTTCTGTATAACCTATAATCTCCAACCGGCACTTGACATAGACATTTTTTTAATAATTACTCCACAGTTTTTAAAAATAAATCAAATTTTAATTACTCACCATTTTTTTTCAATTATTAGTCTTGGAAGTTTTAGTCAAAACATTTAAAATAAATAAATAATTTTTATTTCAAATAAAATATATTCAAGTTTTTCTCTCTGAGTTGTTTTTGTCATCTATACCCACGGGGTCCCCACGCTCTAGATGTCACTAGGGTCTAGGGAATAAAAATATGAGATCACACTATAGATAAGTATATATCAAACTACTTATTAAAATGTCTACTTATTATTATTATTATTATGATATAGGTATAGTCAATATCAAATAGTTATTTAGTTTTTTTATAAAACTGTACTTACGTACTCTAAATTAAATAATTGAAATAAGTGTAATAATGAAAATTATTATTTTTTTTTATTATTTTTAAATGTTTTAATTTCTTATACTAAGAATATATATGTGAAGTTATTTTAAAATTTTGTTATTGTTTATTTAATTGTTAAAATAATTACAGTTGTATACGTGTAATAAATATATGTCAAATCCCACACAGCAGTAATGATAATTTAGATAATGATTTTTTATATCAGTTTTATGGAATAGCCTTTTTAATTAACAAGAAATTAATAGAATACCACCGAGGTTCAAAAAGTGTTGATAAAATAAATAAAAATGTTTAAAAAATTCAAAGACAAGCTTACTGAAGAAATGAAACAATCGCCTGCTAGATTTCAGGCTGGTATGCAACATTTAGCTCAGGTAAGTCAATTTCTGTTTATAATTTTATTAGTTTTATAATTATTTTAATTTTTTTTTATTTTTCAGGCGGTGTCACCAGGTATATCTAACTTGTCACTTACTGGTTCAGGAGATCAGGCGTCCTTTAAAAATTCTAATGACAATTTTAGTCTTACTGACACTGATGATCTTGTGACACTCACTGACGATCGTAAGCTACTATTACTATTGCTATATTGATTAATTGGTTTATAATTTATGCGGGTAGATTGTTGATATGATAGTTGGGTTGATTTGTCAGTAGGAGCAGCCAAAAATAATAATAGTCCGAGGGAAAATTTGAATTTTCAAAATATTGATTTAACATCACTGTCATCCTCGTCATTGTTGTCTAATAATACCACTGGTTTGTCGAGATCATCCAGTGTCAATAGTGTTACCAGCAACGATACGCAGTCGGGATTGTTTCCCATTTTTGAAAGTCCTGGAAATATTTATCAATTACAGGCTAGTATTTTATTGATTATTATTTAATTAAATTAATATATTTATTTATTTATCATGAAAATTAAGTTAGCCGACATCTAAAATTAAAAAAAAATTTTTTTTATTAACAAAATTATTACAAAAAAAATTAAAAAAAAATTCAATTTTAAAAAACTACCTAAAAGTGCAATTTTTTAAAAATAATTTTTAATTTTAATTTAATAATTAAAAAATAACTCCAAAAATTAACAATGTCGGCTAACTTAACTATTACTAATTATTCATGAAAATTAAATTAGCCGACATTTGAAAATTTTGATTATTTATTTTATTGAAAAATAATTTTAAAAAAAATTAGAACAAAAATTTTCACATGTAGAAAATTTTAAAAATTATTCGTGGAATTTTTTAAAAATAGTTTTTTAGTTTTAATTTTTAATTAAAAAAAATAATAAAAAATTTTTGAGTGTCGGCTAACTTAACTTTCATATTTATTTTTATGCTCTGTTTTTTAAATTTTGAGATGATAATAAAATTACCATTTGAAGATTTGTAGAATTTTTCTTATTAAAAAAATTAATAAAAGAAAAATTTGACGTAGAAAATTTGAAAAATAATAAGTACAATTTTTTAAAAATAATTTTTTAGTTGTAATTTAATAATTAAAATAAATGAAAAAAAATTTTAAACATCTATTGAGTTATAAAAATTGAGTTAGCCGGCATCTAAATTTTTTTTTTATTGAAAAAATAATCACAAAAAAGTAAAAAACTTGAAAAACTGCAAGTGCAATTTTTTAAAAATATTATTTTGTTCTAATTTAATTATTGAAAAAAAAAATTAAAAACGATGGCTAACTTTAGTGTTATTACTGATTTTAGTGTCATACTTTTGAGATCACTAGATTCTATAAAAAAAAATTTTTTTTTTGCAATAATAAATGACTTTATTAAAAAAATTGACCAAAGTTAATAAAATTTTCTGCGAGTAAGACTCAGAGTGTAGGATAAAATTTAAATATTTAATAAGAACGGAAATAACTTTGATAATAAAAAATAGAGGAAGCTTAGTGTGCTATAACTCTTTAATGAGTGTAAAAAATTTAAACAAAGTCTTTGTATTATATTTTTATGGTTTTAAAAAATTTTAAACGAAGCAAAAAAATTTTTTTCTCAATAAAACATTATACATATTAATTAATTATTGTTATTACAGTCAGACATGGATCAATCGGCGAGTGAAGCTGATGATACTGTGACGAATCATCAATTCGATGAGCTGTCAAAAGAAGAAATTTATTCAGCTTACCGTAAATCACTTAAAAAATACCACAAATATCGCGGGAGATTCACGGATTTAGTTAATCACTACCGCGAAATGGAGAGAATAAAAGTTAAATTAGAAACATTGCTGGTTGAAACTCAGAACAAAGCTTTGAGGCGAATTGGTAATTTGAAAGAGCAGTGTACATTGGAGCAGCAAGCTAAAGCACATCTTGAAGAAGCTTTGAGAAATGACATGGAAGAGAAAGATCATATTATTGATACTCTTAATACCAAAGTAAATTATTTAGATTGTTGTAAATTGTTAAAATTATTTATTTGATTATTTATTTTTTATTTATTTCAGATAAAATTACTGCAGGCTAATGGAAGCAAAATAGATTTGATGCAGCTAAAAAATGATCCTGTAGATAAAAATGAAAACGAGTCTAATTCTACGGATCAGAGTGAGGTCGAATTGTTGAAACAACAACACCAACAATTGTCAGCGGAGAATGGTTCGTTAAAAAATAAAGTAGAAAAGTTTGAAACTCTGGTTGCTAAGTATAAAGAAACTTTAAAAAAAAGTAAAGAAAAAATCGGTGAATTGGAGCAAGAAAAATTTACACTTGAACGAGACTTTGAGTCTATACAGAATTCTAATTATGAAAAGATAAAATCTCTTGAAGAAAGTTTAGTCATCAAGAACGACGAAATTACAAACTTACAGAGTCAAGTCACTGCAATTCGTCTGCGTGAGGAAGAGTCTGCTATTTCGTTGGCTGAAAATAAATTGGCTATCCATCGGGAAATGGAGATTAAAGAAGAGCAAATAAAACAGCTGACGGAAAAATTAAAAGACTTACCTGTTGTTACTGTTAAAAATACACAAGAGTTTTCGGTGCAAACTGATGAGATCGTAGATCCTAATGAAAAAATTATTGAAGAGCTTAAATTGAAGTTAGATAATACGCAAAAAGAAATTGTCGCTCTGCAAACAGAACTCAGTAATTGTAATTCTATTATCACTGAAATTAATAATAAGAATGTTTCTTACGAAAATGTCATCAGTAGTTTGAATAATGATAAAAAATTAATTTCGAATTATATTATTAATTGTAGAGAAAATATTGATAGCTTCAAATCTGAACAGTTTAAATTAAAACAACAGTTTGTTACTGATTACAAAAATGTTATTGATAATAATATGTCCAGTGTTTCGCAGTCGATTTTAGAAATGATTTCTAATTGCAGTGAACGTGAAATTGAAGAAAGAAATAAAATTAAGGATCAATTTGAGGCTAAATATAATGAATTGAAGCAAGAAACTGATAAATTGTACTCGGAAATAGAACAAGTCAACTTTGAATTGTTTGATTATCAAAAATTATGTGGCGAAACGCAAAAAAAACTAGAAAAACTTGAAGAAAGTAAATTAATTAACGAGAAAAATTGTAATGAAGATTCGAGCAAAGAAATTGAAGGACTAAATAAACTGATTGAAGAATTAAGAGAAGAAATTGTTTCTTTGAATGAAAAATGTCAAGAAAAACATGAACAGCAGTTAGAATGTATAACTCATAATGATTGTATAGATATTATTGATATTAAAAATAAATTTGAGGCATTAATGGATATTATTTCTGCTAAAAATGATTTTATTGAATCATTAAAGTCTAAATACCGCGAGGTGCTTTGTAAAGATAAAATTAAGTGTAAAAAGTGTTCGGATGTTAAAGTTAATGATCTTGAAATGTTAATGGACATTATTTATACTAAAAATGATTTCATTGAACAATTAAGATGTAGAGTAAGAGATAATTGTTCTGTTATTGATAAATTGAATGATAATATTAACGATTTATGTGAAAGAAATAAAGTTATAGGTGAAGAAGATAATTCGCTCAAAATTAAGTTGGCTGATTTAGAGAAAATTTTGTCCGAACTTAGAAGTGAAAATGTTAATTTGGCTGATGAAAATGAAAATTTGAAGAGCAGTGATGATGACCGTGGAGAAAGAATCAGAGAATTGGGAAGAGAGTTGATCGATTTAAGGAATAAGAACGAGGAATTGAAGACAGAAATTGTTGGACTGGCAGAAAGAGTTGGGGAGAAAGATGTTTTGGTTTTGAGGCTAGAAGAAATCGAGAAAGAAAAAGCATTGGTTGAGGAAAATGTTAAAAAATTGGTTAATGATAATGAGAGTTTGAAGAAATCTTTGGAAGAAGTTAATGAAAATTTGAGAGTAACTTATGAAGAGATTCAAAAATGTAAGGGAGTGATAAGTGAGTTAGAAGTACAAAGTCAAAAGTTTAAGGAAGATATTAAAGAACGGGATGAGAAAATAGAAGCGCAGGCTGAAGAAATTCAGACGAATTTAAAATTAGTTAAGCATCAGAAAGAAGAAATGAATAAATTATCGGAAGAAGTAGAGAGAAGAAATGAAGAAATGACGAAAAGAGATGATATAATTACTAAGAGGGATGAAGAAATTAGAATAAGAGATGAAGAAATAACGACTAGAGATGAAGAAATAACGAAAAGAGATGATGAAGTTACGAAAAGAGATGAAGAAATTAATAAGTATAATGAAGAAAAAACGGATTTACTTATTAAAATTGATGAACTGCAAAGTTTATTAAAAGAACATTCCAATGAAAAAGTAGAATTAAAAGTACAAATAGATGAACTAAATAAATTAAATAAGTCTTATGAAGATAAAATAAAAGCATTTGAGAAGAAAATAAAAGAAGTTGAAGAATCTACAAACAATAATAACAGTGTTGAGCTTGAAAATTTGAAAAAATTAGTCAAAGAACTGGAAATAAAATTAAATGATGCTGAAGTAAAATTACAGGATGCTGAAAGGACGGTGATGAATTATAAAACCAACGAAGCACAAATAGAAAATATCAATACGGATTTGAAAGATGAAATGGACAAGCTGAAAGATCAGTTGGCTATGGGTGAAGAAGAGCAGCGGGTGAGGATGAAGCAGTTGGTTAAAGAATTCCAAGCTAGGCTTGATGATAAAGATCTTGAGTTACAAGCTGCGCTTGATCAGAAATTTGGTATTTATTTATTTATTTATTTATTTATTTATTTAGGTAGTTAAGTAATTTTTGTTAATAATTTTTTTGGTGGTTTTTTTGTAGATCGGCAGAAAAACTATGAAAGTGACTTGATCCAGCAGTACAAAGAACAGCTGAAGGACTTTCAGATAGAGTTGACGGCCAAGTCTGAAGAGATTGAAAGCTTAAGATCTGAACAGCATTTATTGGTCGATACAAAGAGTAAACATCATGATGAGGTGACTCGGTTGCAAGAGACGATAGATAAGCTGAGAAATGATGCCGATCAGATAAAAGATAAATACATTCAGGAAAAAAATAAAATTATTGAAGAAAATAAAAAAATTCATGTGAGTATAATTTATTAATTATTATTGATAATTAAAATTTCAGTCATTAAATAATTATCTTCATAATTAAAGGAATAAGGAAACTTTTGTCTCTGGTGTATTGATATGATAAAATAAGTTTTTTAAATTAAATTTAGTATTATTGGAAAGTTCTTGACCTGAATTGGTGCATTTTTAATGTTTCATACGCTTTTCTAAAATAGTTAATTTATTATGATAAGTTTTCAAAGTAGTTATAAATAGATTCGAATTTCGCGATAAACAAAATTTGTTTATTTATTTATTTTGGTTTGTACTTGTGAATGTAGTTATATCTAAAAAATTAGTTTATATAATTAAGAGACTAAGTAAAATTTTGTATCGCGAATATCTTTATCGTAAATTGGGTTTGATATTTTTTCAGCGATTTATGATTTAAATAATTGAGAGAATAAGGAAAATTTTGTGACGAGCATACTATTATTTTGAAAGGAATTTTTATAGTTAAATTTGGTATCATCAGAAAGCTGTTGATAAGAATTTGTGCCTCTTCAGGGCTTTATATATTTTTCAATGATAGTTAATTTTTTATGTTAAGTTTTTGGAGCAGTTTTGAATAGTTTGTTGGTTTTATAAATTTTTTTCGTCACATTTGTCCATTAAATTATTTTTAATTGATCCTGTGACAGCACTATTATTTTTAAAGTTTATTTAAAAAGTACCCAAACTATGTATAGTGTGATTATAAACATCAAAAAATCATAAAGCCAAAGTTTTTTTTATTCATAATCCGTAAATCTCTGCAGTCCCATACTGCAGGTTGCTAGTCTTGAATTATTTTTATAAAATGATCATATTTATTCATACGTATAAGAGCTCCTGATTTTTTTTTATATTAAAAAAATTATATATATTTACAGACCGAAAATACTTTAAGTAACTCTACAACCGATTCATTACATCATATGCAAAATACCTTAGTAGCGCAACGTCGCGAGCTAAGTGAACTACGTAAACTCGTTAAATTGAGATGTGAAACGTCATCCACCTTAGAAGATTCAACAGAAATCGAGTACCTAAGAAATATCCTCTACGAGTACATGATGGGAAAAGAAACCCTTGTACTAGCTAGAGTAATTGCTGCCGTAGTTAAATTTGATCAAGAACAAACTCACAAAGTTCTTGAAAAAGAAAAAGATAAATTAACATTAGTGAGTATTATTAAACATTTATTTATATTTACTATAATATAATAATAATTGAATAATAAATTTATTTTTATTTCAGTTGGGTTCGCTGGGACTAACGTTATAATTAGCTAATGTGTAAAATAGAGTGGAATTAAATTAATTTACCTTTGTAATTGTAGATTTTTTTGTAATTTTAATTATCATTAAATACAAATATTAATATATATATATACTTTTCATTGATTACTTAAAACTTCAAGCTCTAATAAATTATTTACAGATTTTTATAAAAATAAAATTAATTTAAAGTTTATCAGCAGAATTATGGAATTGCTTAACAATATCTTCGAAGAAATATTTTCTCTGAGTATAAGGCAGGTGTTTTTGACGGAAGAATGAGTGGTCGTTACCCATGGCGGTGTAGAGTTTGTTGCCTCTCTCACCGAGCAAACTTCTCAGAGCAGTATTGCGCTGCAAAGTCTTATCATAAAATTCAAGTCCACCTCTGACGTACTCTGGACCGAGTTCAGACAATTTTTTGTCAGCAGCAAACTCGTAGTGCCGAGTCAAAGCATCTCTCTGCATGGCCCAGATTCCCCAGTAGAACGCAGCAAAGCAAACGTAAAAAAAGGCACGAATGCCAAAAGGTTTTTCCAGGAGACCCCTAGTTTCATTCCATTTAGAAGCACTATGATAACACGCAAAGGATAAAATACCGTTAGCGGCTGCCTCGTAGTAAATGAACCTATTGTTGACCATCATTATTTCACGGGCCACCGCGTACTTTTTGGCTTCGTCCGACAAAATTAGAGCATTCAGCAACTCTTTGGCATCTTTACGAGTCCAGTCTACTGGGTCGTCGTTGACGACTATACTGTCTTTGTCTATAGAAGACACTTTTTCGTAAACAAAGTTCGTTGGGATTCCGATCAATGCTCCAAAGCGAGAGTACAGGCTTCCGGCGTGCCAGGAATCGTATCCGAAAACCATGAATGGACGTAAAATTTCTCTGTGGTAATCGCTTATTTTTATGTCGCTTAATACTTGGTTCCATAGTTTCTCGAGGTTTGATGTTAACGGTATTGGGTTTCCCAATCTGGTGAAAAAAATTATTTGTTTAATTTTTTGAGCTTGTAAATGATTTAATTTTAAATATAAAAAAAAATTATTTAATCATGTTGAAATTTACAGATATTTCATGATTAAAATTTTTTTTTATCATTTAAATAGCTGTAAAGAAAATTAAAAAAAACTGTAATTGCATTGTAAAAATTTTACTACATAATTGATGCAGTTTTGTTAAAATATTTTTTGCAGCAATTTTTTTATTCTAAAAAATCAAAAAGTGGTTTGATGATTTTAAATCTTTTCATAAAAAATAATGAAGTTAAAAATAGCTAACATCAAAATAATGCTGAAATCATCAAACGTTGAAAATTTTTTTGATTTTTATCATTAATAAAATCATGACTAAAAAAATATTTTTAAACATTACGCTTTTAGTTTTTCAAATCTTCTACATGTAAAATTTTTTTTTTATAAGAAAAACCCTAAAAATTATGAAATGTCCCCTCATTTCATTTTCATACTGAAAATTATTTTTTACAAAAAGCAGTGTCTATTCACACACAAAGTCCTGATAAATCCTCGCCGCGTGAATGTAAGGGCCCTTACATTCACGTGGCGTGAATTTATCAGGACTTTTTTGAGTGTGAATAGACATGTCCTTTACAAAATTTTATTTATTAGTTTTATCAATTCCTATAGATTGAACTTTTCCTGAATTTTTTTTTGACAAGTAATTTGCTAAAAAAAATAGATACAAAAGTTAGCCGACGTTTTTTTGATTTTTTTTTAATCATTTAATTAATACTACAAAATATTTTTCAAAAATTGCACGTGTTGTTTTTCAAATTTTTCACAGATGAAATTTTTTTTTCTTATTTTTTTTTTGTAATAATTTTTTTAATAAAAAAATTTATAAAATTTTTCACATGTCGGTTAACTTAAAATTTATTTGATAAAAAAATTGAAAATATTACTAACTGTCTGTAAATGTCAGCATCATGACATTCAACCATTTGTAAGTAATAAAAAAAATCATAAGTAAATGATTTTATCTCAAATTTTATATTTTTTCCATCATGAATAAAAAATAAAAGTTCAATTTCAAAAAATCAGCCTTGCCTACATAAAATTATTAGCAAAGCACAATTATGTCTCTCAATCATAACATGTCTCAAAATTGAATCTTTCGCTTTTCTGAAACCAAAATAAAATAATTAATTAAAAAAAAAAAAAACAAAATTACCTTCGCATTGTAACAATATCAAAGTATTTATTTAATCCCATAGTATGTGGAACAAATTGCAAACCAAATAATGCAACTGTTGTAAAACCTGCAGTGCCCATCATAAACATTCGTCCTTTTGGGGTGACGAACCAAGAAACTGAAGTCTCCTTGCGCATTTTTATGAATAATCCAACTCAGATTAATAATTAGTTTTTAATTAAATATTTTAATTCAACAAATTTATTCCAATCGGCAAGATTAACAGAACATAACCATCCTTCGATTTTTTTAGACTGATTTAAAATCCAAGATAGAGGGCGCGGAAAAAATTTAAGCGGCAAATTCAAATTTTTATTTTTTCCTGATCTGAAAAAAATAATTATTTTAATTAAAAAAATATATCTAACAACTAATTATATAATAAATAATTATCAATAAAGTACTTGATTCAATAATTAATAAATTGAAGTGAAAAAACTAACCAATCGCAGGATAAATTTAAAAAGACGCAGCCAATAAAAGCGCGAGTTTATTTAGCAGCCAACGGATGAAAAGTTCCAAGGGAAGAACCAATACGCGGCTATTTTACAAACTCAGTAGCCAATAAAAAAAAAGATATTGATATATTTAGACAGACCAATCGATGGTGTCAAAAAAAGACAATTCATCCTCCGTCTCTGTCTTTGTCAATCTCCTCTGCCCCCAGTCCAGTCACTTCGTCATTGCTGTACAATTGCAATCTTGCGCATTTATATACTGAGTACACAAAAACAACTCAACTAAATTGAAACGTCATTAAAATTATACTTTTTGTTATAAACAGTGAATAATAAAAAAAGTAATTGCATCAGATTAAGTGCGAGCACAGAGCACAGAGAGTTAATTTTTGGGTTGCTGAGTTTTAACATTATTTGTTGATAAAATGAAATTTCAGTACAAAGAGGAACATCCCTTTGAAAAGAGAAAGGCTGAAGGTGAAAAAATACGTAGGAAATATCCTGATAGAGTTCCAGTGAGTATACGTCATATATTTATTTATTTATAATTATATTTATGTTGGTTCATCAAATGGCTGTCATGTTGATAAGCGAGTTTAGTTTTTCAGGTATAACATGGGTGACAACAAATTAAATGAATTTTAAAATTATTTAATTTAATAACCATTTTTTGTACACACCTACATACTAGTGACGACATACTTGTATATATCATTACACTACAAATATACTCAGGGTCTTATTTTTTTTTTACGCACTAATCTGTTTATTATTATTGTTGTTATTACATTTTTATTGATTGTCATCCTCGATTTCGTGAAAGTTATTTAGCAGAGCTGGGTGTCGATGTTTTTTTTTTATTAATAGTGTATAATTGCAGGTGATTGTCGAAAAAGCACCGAAAGCTAAAATCAGCGACCTTGACAAGCAGAAATACTTGGTGCCGTCAGACTTGACTGTAGGTCAATTTTACTTCTTGATCCGCAAACGCATCCACTTGCGTCCTGAAGATGCACTGTTTTTCTTCGTTAACAATATCATCCCACCCACAAGTGCTACCATGGGCTCGCTTTATCAGGTAATTCAAACTACATTTGTTTGCTTTTTATCGTCTGTTTTTTTTTTTTTATATTTATTGAGCGTAGATTTTTTCTTTATCGGATTTAAATGTTTAATGATTCATTGTAGTTATATATGTAATATAATATAATGATAATAGTATGTAAATGTGTATAATTGTATTTGATTAATCACCAGATTTTTATCGAAATTTTATTAGATATATCTTGTGAAAATTTACCTTTAGAATTGATAAACTTTTTTCTATAAAATATTTTCAAGTTTTTAATTAGTTTTAAAAATTGTGATGAATTTTTTTTTATTGATGATTTTTTTATAATTATAATAAAAAAAATAAATTATGATAAAAAATTTTTTCACTTAAGGAATAACATTCATAAATTTAATATAGAAAAAATAATATCTTTATTGCATAAAGTACAAAATTTTTTTTAATTGAAATAATTAAAGAGTATTAAAAATAAATTACAATAAAAAATTCATTTATTTTAAAACATTTATATTGAATTTTTAAATCAATTATTTCATTGTAAAATTTCAATGAAAATTAACTGAGTAATAAAATTTTTTATGATAAATTTTTTAAAATAAAATTCTTATAAAATATACATAATTTACAAAAAGTCGTACATAAAATAAAATATTACGACAAATAAAATCATAAACTTAAAATTGTCATAAGGTCTTGAAAAAAAAAAAATAACTTCGGAAAATCAGCTGTTGACATCTAATAATAGATATTAAAGTCCCCTCAAACAAACAGTAGTCGGTAAATAAAAAAAAGTTGTGCTTATCCGCTTACATCATAAACTTTTATCAAAATAATACTCACGTACTTGATGTTAAAGAGTTCTTGAATTTTAATAAACAAAAAATTTATCAAAAGTTAACAAAAAGGAATGTAATAAATTTTTACTTCTAAGTAACATAACTCGCTTCACATTTTATTTTTTTAGGTCAAAAAATATTTAAATCAATTTGACATCCTTCAAAATGAAATAATCTAAAAATACTGGATCATTTTTTACAATTTTTTTCAGCACAACTTTATTTACTGTAGGACACTCTTAAAATATAAATTACTGCGACTTTAAATATTTAATAATTTATTTTTTTTTTGTACAGGAACACCACGAAGAGGATTGCTTCCTTTACATAGCGTACAGTGACGAGAATGTTTACGGAAACCATTAAAGAAAAGAAAACCAATTATAACTACTCAACTCTATTACAATTAAATGTTCACTGAGAATGTATTTCTCAATAGAATTCACAGATAAATAAAATTACATAAGACAAAAAAAAAAAACAAAAAAGTAATCGACTTATAAGAAAGAACGTTTTGACAGCAAAAATAAATAATAAAATAATAATAAATAACAATATTAATAATATTAATACTGCATAACGTTATCATTCCTCGTGGATGTTTTAAAGCATACTTTATTATTTTTTATCTATCTATTATTTAAATAGCTCGAAGTAAACTTAAATTCCAATGTTAGTGAATTTTTAATCATGATTATACACGCCTAAATAATTTTCCTGTTTCTTTGATACAATGATCAATTTCCCGTGGAGTTTTTATGCGATGAATTATTGAATTTATTAGTAGCTTGCCTTTGTGTAATCACGAATTTAGACGAGCTGTTTTTTTTTTTTTTGTGATCGGGTGATTATTTATTATACTAAATTATGTTTATTAGTAGACTAATGTGTATCGATAAATTATTATATTAATTAAGATGTGCAAGAATAAAATTTACGTCAATAAAATTTAATTATTGATTTGATATTATTTCTGTTAATCCAATTACTTTTAATATTAATTTTAATCACTAATATTTATGAACAGTTATCGATAATTGAATTATTGTAATCCACTGCAAGTTTTTACTGAAAAATTTTGTTTATTTTCAGCTGTAACATCGGGGAGGTCTTCAAATTCTTTCTTTTATTTTTTTCTTCTCTTCTTTTGAAGTATTTTCTGTATAGATGCATATGTTTATTATAAATCCTAGTCTGTAATATCAAATAATTATTTGCCACAAATTCATTTTTTCAATTCTGCCTTTAGGAAAAAGAAAATAAAAAAAAATTTATGGATCATTCCACGAAATAAAATTTTTACGGATTCAAAAATATGAAAAAATATGATTATAATTCGAAAAATTCAGTAGTATCTTAAAAAGGTCATTTACAATAAGAAAAAAATACTCAATTTTCTAATATGAGATTAATTTGTTGAAAATTCTAAATAATTTCATACAGCAACTTTCTTGTTGAAAAAAAATTTTCTAGACTTGGAAAAGAACATTTTTACATGAAAATTCGGAAGTTATCTACAATTGTTTTTTTCCCAAATCAAAAAAACTTTTCCAACAAGGAAGTTACTGTGAAAAAAATTTTTATTTCTTCAGCTAAGAAATAAAATTATTTAAAATTTTCAACAAATTAATCTCAAATTTTCTTATTAGAAAATTGCTTATTTTTTTTCAAAATAAATTTTTTCTCTCAGTGTAATGCTGACACATTTTATTTATTTTTGATAGAATTAAAAATATGCGCAGCGTGAAATTCACATATTTTCTGTAAAAAATTCTGAGAATTAAAAAAAATGTCAATTTATTTCACACAAGGCCAGAAAAATAATGTTTTATACTTAAATCGCATTCCTACGAATTTTTGGGTCCTTACTGTGAAAAATATCTCCATTTTTATTGAAATTGTTTCGGCTCAGAAGAAATAAAAAGTTGCTGAAATAAGAAAAATTCATTACTTGAAACGATTTGATATTTCAAAGAAATTTTTTTTTTTATATAAAAAATCACTTCCACAAACTTTATATAGAGATTCGCTCCATAAAAATAATTTTATTTAATAAAATTTAATAATACTTTACAGCAAATAGTACCAGAAAAAACTAAAAATACCTAAAATCTTTCTACGCATTACTAATTCTCTTTGAAGACGATATAAAAAAATAGTAAACCGAACTAAGGAAGAAAATTATAAATTATTCTGTTTGTTATTCACATGAACACACTGTCATGCCGTGCTTGCAAGCCTATTTGACAATTAAATATTAACACAATTTTATCTGGGTGGTTTAAAACAGCAAATAGTCGCTCACTCGCAACTTGTTCTTTAGCTTGCATTCACCTCTGCTCATGTAGTTGAGTAATTTAAATATTCTTCCTTATGGAAAACGCGAGTCTTAATGACAGTGACACATCAAATGGAACAATTTACATAAGTTCGCAGTTTAATATCGGCAAGGAAGACAGCACATGGATAGTTAGTAACTCCTTCATCATCTTCACAATGCAAACAGGATTCGGAATGCTGGAATCCGGGTGCGTTTCCCTAAAAAATGAAGTAAATATTATGATGAAAAACGTCGTCGACATCTCGCTGGGTGGACTTACTTACTGGATTTTTGGTTTTGCGATGAGTTTTGGGTACGGGCCGCCTACCAATCAGTTCATTGGAACAAGTGGATTTTTCATTGATCCCACAGTTGATGACCAATTTATGGGTCCTATTTGTGCGGCATTTATATTTCAGTTAAGTTTTGCTACTACTTCTACGACAATTGTCAGCGGTGCTATGGCAGAAAGGTAATTCTAATGATATTGCGTGACATAAACCAAAAAATTGGATGATATTGAATTTAACATGAAAATTAATTTAGCACATATTTAATAATTTTAAGAATTTTATAACAAATAAATTATGGTAAAAAAAAAAATTAGAAAAAAAAATTGACATATAGAAATTTTAAAAAATAAAAAATACAATTTTTTAAAAATAATTTTTTAGAACAAATTTTTTTGTTAAATAAAATTAAAAAATCGTCAAGTGACTGCTAACTTTAATGTCATGAATTTAACAGACATCAAAAAAATTTTCAGATTTTTATAACAATTAAATTATAATAAAAGAAACTCAGCAAAAAATTCCACATGTATAAATTTAGAAAAAATTATATAAGTGCGAATTTTTAAAAATATATTTTTTTTTAATAATTGATTGGTTATAAAAATTCCAAAAATTGTCAGATGTCTGCTAACTAATTGCAGTATCATAATGTATTTTTAAAATCATTGTTTTTTAGATTTGTTTATAACCATACAGGATAACCGTTAGTGTTAATTAATCAGTCATATTATCATATTAAAATACTTTACAATCAGAGAAAAAATTTATTTTAAAAAAATGGGCATTTTTGTGACAGAAAATTGTTGAAAATTTTATTTCGTTGCTGAAGAAATAAAAATGTTTCTCACAGTAATTTCCTTGTTGGAAATAAGTTTTTTTTTTTTATTTGGAAAAAACCAATTTTAGATAGACAACTTACAAATTTTCATCCAAAAAAATGTATTTTTGAAATATCACGTGATAAAAGTAAAAAGGGCATATGTGTAAAAATGTTTGCACTTTTGGCTTTAAGAATTTGAAAATTTTGTTATCTAAAGCCAAAAGAACGTAAAAAATTTTATTTTCAATCGGTTTGCAAGCATATTTTAAGCTTAAAAATAAAAAAAGACATTTCGAAAAGTAAAAAGGACGTATAACTAAAAATTAACGCCCTTTTGTTTCAAGGAATTTAAAAATTTTGTGATCACGGAAAAAAGAAAAATTACATTTTATAGTGTAACGTGGCATTTCATATAAAAAAAACTGGAAAAATTACAGTTTTAGATTGTAATTTTTAAAGATTTTTTAAAAATTATATTATAAAGTGTTAATTTTACATTTAAAGCTGTGAAATTAACATTCAAATTTGAATTTTAAAAATTTTATTTCGAATTGCAATTTTTCTAGTTTTAAATTTGAAGCGATACTTATTAGTATTTATACCGTAATTTTGATAATTATTTGCAAGTGGGGTCCACCTTATTTTTGGCCATATCTAGGAGAAAAATTAACATTTTTTAATTTTTAACTTCCCGCTAAAAATCTCAGATTTTAAAAAATCGGGAAGTTATTGTTTTCACCCCGTTTTACAAAAATCGAGTTTTCATCAGATCTCGACGTTTTAAGGTCACAGGAAGCTTCCCTGACTACCCCCGCGGTGGTGTCTGTATGTCTGTATGTATGTATGTGTGTATGTGTGTGTGTGTGTGTGTGTGTGTGTGTGTGTGTGTGTGGATGTATGTAAACCTCTTATAACTTTTGAACGGCTTGACCGATTTGATCGCGGTAGGCGCCATTCGAAAGGGCTTGCCCAAACTTAGATTTCCTGAAAATTTGAACCGATTCGGACCGATAGATTTTGAGAAATCGTAAAAAAACTACAAAAAAAAATTTTTTCAAAAGTGGTTTTTTTGAAATAACTTTTAAACGGCTTTACCGATCAATTCCAAAAACTAATCAGCTCTTAACGTCAAAAAACCACGTCGATCGCCGCCAGTCCGGTCAAAATCGGTTAATTTTTTCGTGAGTTATCGTTGACGAAAGAAAACCGAAAAAAGCGTTTTTTCGGAATTACTCCGAATCTTTCCACTCTGTCGATATAAACTCAAAGATTTTCTATAAAGCTTGAAAAACTGCGTTGAATGCCGCCAACCGCGTAAAAATCGGTTCATTCATTCAAAAGTTATTGCGATTTGAAAATAAAAAAAATTGTGTTTTATCAAAGCATACAAAAGCTATTTTTTTGAGCTCGGAGAGCCCGAAATAATATACAAATTGTATTTAAGAGCTCGAAGAGCTCTAAAACGTCATAAGTGCAATTTCAAGCGTATAGGTATAGAATTGGCGGGAAGTTGCAGGGATGGCCTTCAGGGTCAACCGTTTTCCTAATTTTTTTTTATTCTGTTTGTTTTTATTACGGCGCATTTATGATAAAAAATGTCGTGAAAGAAAAAAATAAAGATTTCGATAGCTTTTTTTCCTTCAAAAGTTGTAAAAAATTTTGGCTCTTATGTTTTTGGATAAAATTTCTATTTTATCTATTTTATCTTTTTTTGATATATATTTTTGTTGAAAAGTACATAAAAAAACGAACGATTTAAAAAAAAAAGTTGAATATCACAATTTTCTAAAAAATTTATAAATTTTTAATAAACTTTTTTTTTTAATTGTTTATTTTTTTATTTGTTTAAAAAAAAAATATATCAATAAAATCAAATAGAAATTTCGTTAAAAAAAAATGAAAATTATAATGGTGAACCCCACTTGTAAATAATTACCGTAATTTTTCCCTTTTTCTTTTTTCCGTGTAAATCTAGAGTAGAGAATAAGATTTTTTGTGCCATCTCATTTTGCATTAATCTATTGGGTATCTTCTTCTTACAGTTAATTTTCATACTGAGTAATATTGTGATATCGCTTCATTTTTCGAGCTTTATTTAATGTTTTGTAAGAAAAAAAATTTTTTACAAATGATTCATCGAACAAGTTATCTACATTTAATTTCCCCAGATGTAATTTCAAGGCTTACTGCCTGTTTTCTTTCTTGAACACCATCGTCTATTGCATACCAGCAGGGTGGGTATGGGGTGACCACGGTTTCCTCCACAACTTAGGAGCAGTCGATATCGCCGGGTCAGGACCAGTCCATTTAGTCGGTGGAATATCAGCGCTAGCTTGTGCAATAATGCTAGGACCTCGTCTAGGTCGCTACGACTACGGTCTGGACCCTCTACCGCTGGGATCTCCAGTAAACGCGATCCTGGGACTGTTTGTGCTCTGGTGGGGCTGGCTAGCATTCAATAGTGGAAGCACTTATGGTGTTACAGACGACAAATGGAAGTATTCAGCACGCGCTGCAGTTTCTACAGTGATGGCAAGTATTGGCGGAGGACTAGTTGGGCTATTCTTCAGCTTGAACAGTTCCCAGGGAATAGACATCCTCAGCCAAATAAATGGCATCCTTGGAGCTTTGGTTGCTGTCACAGGTGGCTGCTTTTTATACAGAGCGTGGGAAGCTATAATTGTTGGTGGAGTCGGCGGATTTATTACCTGCTTCACCATGCCACTGTTTGATAAACTGAGGATTGATGATCCTGTTGGTGCTTCGGCTACTCACGGTGAGTTATAAAATTTATAATAAATTACTAGCAACTTTTTGAGTTTGTTCTTGATCAAATTTAACCACGGCAGCAATTACTTTAGCTAATACAAGGGTTTCTTTTCCCATCATGTACTTGTAGAGGATATTTCTTAGGTACTCGATTTCTGTTGAATCTTCTAAGGTGGATGACGTTTCACATCTCAATTTAACGAGTTTACGTAGTTCACTTAGCTCGCGACGTTGCGCTACTAAGGTATTTTGCATATGATGTAGTGAATCGGTCGTAGAGTTACTTAAAGTATTTTCGATCTGTAAATATATATAATTTTTTTTAATATAAAAAAAATCAGGAGCTCTTATACGTATGAATAAATATGATCATTTTATAAAAATAATTCAAGACTAGCAACCTGCAGTATGGGACTGCAGAGATTTACGGATTATGAATAAAAAAAACTTTGGCTTTATGATTTTTTGATGTTTATAATCACACTATACATAGTTTGGGTACTTTTTAAATAAATTTTAAAAATAATAGTGCTATCACAGGATCAATTAAAAATAATTTAATGGACAAATGTGACGGAACAAATTTATAAAACCAACAAACTATTCAAACTATTCCAAAAACTTAACATAAAAAATTAACTATCACTGAAAAATATATAAAGCCCTGAAGAGGCACAAATTCTTATCAAGAGCTTTCCGATGATACCAAATTTAACTATAAAAATTTCTTTCAAAATAATAATGTGCTCGTCACAAAATTTTCCTTATTCTCTCAATTATTTTAATCATAAATCGCTGAAAAAATATCAAACCCAATTTACGATAAAGATATTCACGATACAAAATTTTTCTTGGTCTCTTAATTATATAAACTAATTTTTTACATATAACTCCATTCACATGTACAAACCAAAATAAAAAAATAAACAAATTTTGTTTATCGCGAAATTTGAATCTATTTATAACTACTTTGAAAACTTATCATAATAAATTAACTATTTTAGAAAAGTGTATGAAACATTAAAAATGCACTAATTCAGGTCAAGAACTTTCTAATGTAACTAAATTTAATTTAAAAAAACTCATTTTATCATATAAATATGCCAGAGACAAACTTTTTCTTATTCTCTTATTTATATTAATTAAAAATGTTTACTTGATGAGCAAATTAATATAATTTAAAAAATAATTCAAACTTTTATCTTTTCCAGGCATAACTGGCATGTGGGGAGTGATTGCAATAGGCCTGTTTGCTGATAATCCATGGCCTCTAACCACAACAAGCGGCAGAAGTGGACTTTTCAAAGGCGGTGGGTGGTATTTATTAGGAATTCAGAGTTTCACTGTTCTATGCTTAGCAACGTGGTCCTTTTTTTCTTCAATTACTCTATTGTGGATTGTTGATAAGATAATACCTTTGAGGATGTCGATGCGTGAAGAACTACTGGGTGCTGATTTAGTTGAGCACAAAATCAAGCATTCAAAGGTAATAGGAAATTTTATTGATTTAAATTATTAATTATCATTTAAAATATTCAGTCAGTTGATATTGTTTTATTAATTTTTATTTTTTAATTGGTTATATAGATTGGAGTGAGCAGAGCAATGTCGGCATTAAGACCTTTTACAGGAGAAAAAAAATTGACTGATATTTTAGACATTGGTGTCAATCCAGGACATGATTTTTTTGTTAATAATTATCGTAAATCTAAACGTATGAACAATTTTATTAAAATTATGGCCCGGAAAAAATCTAATCGTTCACCATTGGCGGTCAATAATATTAATCAGACGCCAGTTATTAATACTCTAGCATGGGTTAATTAATTAAGAGCTTACTATTGAGTATTTTTAAGTTTTTAAAACTATTAATATGAATATTTATAATTTAATAATTAACAAAAAATAATCTAAAAGTCAAATTCTACCAAAAAATTCTAAATATTTTTCTAATAATAGCAATAAATAAAATAATACTGATAATAGTCTAGAAGCACTAGATAACTAACGAATGCCCTGAGTATACATCACCAATTACTAAATTAGCAAGGTGATTAAATATCAACATTGTCTTCGGTATAAAAATGTATTCTTCTTTTAAATAATATAAATAATAAAATAAATAATATTTACTTAAATTTAATTTTAATTTACAAGGTATTATTGAAAGTGACCCACTGCGACACTTCTGTCGGCAGTCCAGGGTAATTTTTAGCAGCTTCAATAATTTGTTGCGATGTGACGAGTAATTTGAAAAATTGATACTCTTTCTCGGATTTTAAGTAACTTCCGACACCGCTGCTGTTGACTGGAGCAAGTAACTGGAGATTCTAAAAAAAAGTTATTTATTTATTTAAGTATTACGATAACATTATTTTCAATACTCTTGAGTTGAATTACTGATAAATATCAAGTTGAAAATAAATGAAACTATTTTTTTTTTTTTTCAATTAGATCTTTACTAAAAAAAACTTAATTTTTCATCATGAAAAAAAAATTAAATTTTTTATTTAAAGATAAAAAAAGTCAAAATTATACAATCTCAGACACTGACTATAAAAACAGCTAATTTAAAATATGTATTTCTAAAAAGATCTCAGTGAAGTTATTATTAACTTAACTAAAAAAATTATAAAAAAATGAAAGACTAAATAACTTTGAATAATTCAATCATTAAAATTTTTTAATTGAATTTTATTATCATCATAATTAAAGTATTTTAAAAAGCTAGTTCACACGTGGGACTAAATAGACAATATAATTCGATATAACAAACATCAGGATCACGGGTAGTTGAAAAACACAGTTAAATCAATTTAAACAATCATTGAATTGCAACGCTTCGTCTTTATTCTTAAGACTTTATCAAGCTCTCAACAATGTCTAAACGATCGTCATTGTTGAGAGCTTGATAAAGTCTTAAGAATAAAGACGAAACTTTGCAATTCAATGATTGTTTAAATTGATTTAACTGTGTTTTCCAACGGTATCAGGCGTCTTGATCCTCCGACAAAATATCAAAAAAAAAAAATATCCCCTATGACAAAAAAACCCCGACAAGTTATCCTTTAAATTCGTTATAGTTTTCGCAAATTTGAATAAAAAAAAATTATTTAAGGGCACAACACGGTAAAAAGCGTATGTGATGGTCTAATATCGAATAAACACACACAAAAACCATGTTAAAAAGGCGCAACACGATTATCCGCTCTAAAACAATAATTAAATAATAATGATAATAATAAAAAAATTAAAAATAATAAAAGTCAGTGATAAATATTTTAAAAATCAAAGACTGATTAAAAATAAAATTCATTATAAATTATTAATGTTTTTTATTTCTTTGAATCAAATTCTCTTTTTTTTTTGTCAAGTCGAAACATATTGTCATAAGCATATTCGATACGAGAATATTTTATCGTGATGGTATTGTGTCATAGGGATATTCTGTCGGAGGATATTGTGTCACGGGGATATTTTGTCTAAAGATATTTTGTCGAGGATATTTTGTTCAGGGATGAAAACTCATAGAACCTTTCTAACTACCCGTAATCCTGATATTTGTTATTTATTAATCTGAAATTAAACCGTATTAAAAATAATTCGATATTTTTTAAACATAATTCGGAAACAGTACCTGAAACTTTTACAGAATAATAATTATTTAAACTTTAATAATTTAACAAAATTTTATAATTTTTAATTCAATTGTAACTTCCATGATTTTTCCCTATATTATTGTTGCCGTCAGACGTTTTAAAAATAATAATTAAAAATCTTTTTGTGATGATAGTCAGATTAAAATTCCAAAATTATCAATCTAATTATTAATAAATAATTACCTTAATATGTTCAAAAGCCTTCATAATAACTGGCCTCTGTACAGAGTGAATCGAGGACATCTGATTAGCAAATTTAACATAACGATTTAGAATCGCCTCGAAATTAAACGGCTCATCGTAAATCTCAGTTTCATGTTTCATTGCAATTATCTAAAAACAAACAAAAAAAAAAAAAAATTATCAACAAAGTCAAAACAAATATATAAATCCATATTTACCAGACTGAACTCCAGCACAGAGAGACCTTGCAGCATCAGTAATTTATCATCCTGAACAAATATTTTACCAGCGTCGACAATATCATTAACGACTATCTTGCAATGCTGATCATTGAGCCCCGAGACAATAACAAACAACAAGTTTTTCAGCAAACGCTCTCCAACATCCAGCTGGTAGAATCTCTGCAGCAACTTTTGTACCGCCGAGTTGGCTACCAGACTGTCAATATTTTTGTTCCAAGCAGCAGCAAACTGCTTGTCGATTTCTCCATCATCACTGTCATCATCATCATCATCCGTGATACTCAGCAAGTAGTGAAACAGTTTTACAATGTTGTCATTACCTCCTTGCTCCTTGGTCTCGCTGCCAGCAAAAATGAAGATCTGGCGATGCGAGAACCGGGACTTTACCCGTTTCTCCAGCAGCTCGATGACATCCAGCCGGCAAGTTATTCCTAGGACGCAAATTGGGGACTGCGCTGACTGAGCAATGTCGAACAAATTGTACAGCAAAGTCTGATTGTGATGCTGACAAAATAAGTCAAACTCGTCGATCAAGAATATACACGGCTTGGAGGTTTTCTTGTCCCCGGACTTGAGACACTCCAGCAAAAAGTGCAAGTTTTCAGCAAAGGTACCAAACACTTTGTTTCCTACCACGTTCTCTAGCTGCATCTGTCTGGTTGCGTCTCTCAGTGCCAGCCGATCATCAGTGTGGATCAGTCCGTTGAGATTGACAATCAGCGCTGTTGATTTGAAGTCTTTTAGGGAGCTGGACAGCTCGTTTAGGACAGAGTTTATCAATGAGGTCTTGCCAGAGCCACGTGGACCTATCAATAAAGCTGAGTTACTCTCACCTGATTCTACAGTGCGACGAATTAAGTCGTAAATATGCTGTCTTTCTTTCGTGTAGTATTGATTGTTGATGTAATACTTATCATTTGTGTTCATTATTTTCTGCTTTAGATATTTTTTCGTCCGCTGGATCATGGTGCTCTCATTGATCTCTTGGTTAAACAAGATGTCCAAGTTTTTTTTACGGCTCATTTTGGTAGGTCTTGGTTTTTAATCTTTGGTCACTTATTTGGTGATTGTTTTCTTTTAAGAGAAATGTTTTTGATTACTAAGTGGTTGTAATTATTGCTGTTTATATTTTTATTAATTTTTGTAGCGTCGCACTTGCTGTTTACTGTTTATGCGGACATGACAGCTGACTTGCGCGGGAAATTTTGTCACTTTATTAAGATGGCGTTACAGTGAGATATTTAAATCAGAAAACTTCTGATAATTTTGTTGGGTTGTTTTTTAATAAAAAATTAGAAAAAAACAATATTTTTTTTAATATTCATACATAGGGTAAATGCACCAATTATTGACCGATTAAGGTTTTCTTTTTCTGTACTAAGCTATAAAAAATCTATTAACCTACTAAAAACAATTTGTAATGGATTTTATTAAAGTTAAATACTTATTTAATAATAATTAATAACTATTTATAATAAAAATTAACAAAATTATATTAATTTTGTTATTTGAATCTTGAAATACCAAAATCACCAATTATTGACCGAAGAAACCCAATAAATAACCGACCGTTCTCCAATTAATTGACCGCTCAAATAATTATAAGTAATTTTCTAAACTACATGGATCTGGTAATTTTTTTTTTTTTATAAAAATTTTATAATAATAAAGTTAGCCGACGTTTTTAATTTTTTTTTTATCATTAAATTAGAACTAAAAAAATGAAAATTAAGTTAGCCGACATTTAAAAATTTTTATAATTTTTTTTTATTGAAAAAATCATTACAAAAAATTAAAAAAAAAAAATTGCACGTCTAAAAAACTTCAAAAACTGTAAGTGCAATTTTAAAAAAAATTTTTTTATTCTAATTTGATTATTAAAAAAAAAATCATAAAATTTAGAACGTCGCCTAACTTTAATGACATACTAAAAAATAGTTTTTAAAAATTGTACTTGGAGTTTTTAAAGTTTTTTTCTATAATAGAAAATTTTTTTTTATTTTTTTGTAATAATTTTTTTTATTAAAAAAAATTCTAAAAATTATTAGATGGCTAACTTAATAATTTTCATGAAATTTTTAATGATATTAAAATTAACCGACGTTCAACAATTTTTGATTTTTTTTTAATGAATTAAATTAGAACAAAAAAAATATTTTTACAAAATTGCACGTATAATTTTTAAAACTTTCTACATGTGAAATTTTTTCAATTAATTTTTTTTAAATAATTTTTTCAATAAAAAAAATTCGAAAAATTATTAGATGTCGGCTAACTTAATTTTTATGAAAATTTTAATGACATTAAAATAAGTTAATTTTTATTTATAAGTAAATTAATTTAATGAAATTATTTTTAAAAAATTTTATTCATATTTTTATATGTGGAATTTTTTATGACAATGAAATTAACAATGAAAATTAATTTCGTTGATCTTTGATAATTTTTGTAACAAATAAATTATGGCAGAAAAAAAAATTTGACAGAAATTTAAAAAAATTAAAAATGCAATTTTTTTAAAAAAATTTGTTTGTTAAAGAAAATTAAAAAATTGTGAAGTGACATCTAAATTTAATGTCATAAATTTATTATTATTGCATAATATTGCATTTATAATTTTTCTGAGCTTCTAAAGATGGATTTTTTTAAATTAAATTTTTCTTGCTATAATTTACCTTTTTGTTATTTGTTAAAGAAATTCTAAAATTTATAAGATGTCTCTCAATTTCAGTATCATAATTTTTTTTTTGTAAAATTTTTCTCATTTTTATTTTTGTAAATTTTATAGATTTTTTTTTATCGAAAATTATGGCATAATTTTCCATAATTATTTTAAACTTAAAAATTTTTTATTTCTAGAATGTTTAAGTATATTAATCTCAGATAAATACTTTTAAGCTTGTAATATTTTTTTGGCGCTAAATTTAAGTTAAATTATTTTTGTGAAGATGATATTGTTCATAATTATTTTATAAAATATTCTAGAAGTTTAATTTTTGTCAATTTTATTTCATAAAGTTGCTTTTTTTATGATTAAAAAAATTCTAGACAATTTTTTAAATTAAAAAATTTTCAATTTCTAGAGTTCTAGAATGTTTTATATTTATCCTATACTTACAAGCCTCTAGAAAATTTTATAACAAGTTTTTAAGCAGTAAAATTTTTTCTTTTTAGTCTCAGAACTAATTAAAAAATTTGTTGCAGGTATTTTTATATCTCCAAAAGGAGTAATCGCTGAAACCGGAAGTGTTGGACTGTCATTAATAGTGTGGATATTATGTGGATTTTTGTCAATGATAGGAGCACTTTGTTATGCAGAATTGGGAACAAGTATTCCTAGAAGTGGTGGAGATTATGCTTATATTCATGAAGCTTTTGGTGAACTTCCTTCTTTTTTATATTTATGGGCTGCTAATTTAATTTTTGTGTAAGTATAATTTTAAATTATCATTATCATTATTATTATTATTAATTATTTTACTAATCTATTTTTATTTATTTTCAGACCAACAACAAATGCAATAATGGCATTGACATTTGCTGAATATGTTTTACAGCCATTTTTTCAAGACTGTGTGATACCTGATGCTAGTGTACGACTTATAGCTGCTTGTACAATATGTAAGATTTTATTATTATTTTTTTTTATTTGGGCCGTCCGAATTATTTTTTCAGTTGAATTTATCTCTAATGACAAATTAAAAAAAATAAGAATAAAAATAATTGTCTATGCCAGGAAGGAATACCGGCTAAAAATTATAAATAATTAGAGAAAAATTATGCAATTAGACTAGATAGCCAATAATAATTATAATTATAGTCAATTTACAATTGTAAAAAAATATACGTAAATTTATTATTATTATTATTATTATTATTATCATATTTTTATTTAACAGGTTTATTAACTTTTATAAATTGTTACGACGTTAAAGAAACATCAAAAATGCAAAACATCATCATGTTTGCTAAAATAAGTGCACTGTTCATAATAATAATTGCTGGACTGTCATGGTTGTGTTTGGGTAATTAAAAAATTTTTTTCAACTTATTATAAAAACAACAAAATACAAAAATTAATTTTATTAAATAGGACACACTGAAAATTATGAGGAACCTTTTAAAAGCACAACAGTAGATCCCGGTAAAATAGCAATTGCATTCTATTCTGGTATATTTTCATACTCTGGATGGAACTATTTAAATTTTATGACTGAAGAATTAAAAGATCCTTATAAGTAAGTGTAAAAAAATTTTTTTTTTTTTAATTATTAATTAATAATAATTTATTTAATTATTGCAGAAATTTACCACGTGCCATTTATATTTCACTGCCATTAGTTACGATAATATACGCGTTGGCGAATGTTGCGTATCTTGCAGTGCTTAATCCTACGGCGATGATTGCTTCTCATGCTATTGCTGTGGTAATTAATCTAAAGCGATAATTGATAAGTATTGAAGAATAATTTCTTATTGTTATTTACTTATTTTTATTTTTTAATTAATTTTTTTAGACATTAGCTGATAAACTTATGGGTCCAATGTCTTGGATAATGCCAGTATTGGTAGCAACATCAGCATTTGGCGGATTGAGTGTCCATATTATGACGTCGTCACGAATGTGCTTTGTTGGAGCTCGTAATGGACATTTTCCGGCTATGTTGAGTCATATTAATATCAAAAGATTTTCACCGACACCTGCTTTAGTTTTTTTGGTGATTCATTATTATTATTCTTATTTTTTATTTATTTAAGTAAATTATTCATTATTTAATTGCTAGTTATTAAGTTATTATCAATATCATCATGAATATCACCATTAATATCAATGAAATAATATTCATTATGACTCTCATTGTCATCATTTAATATCATGAATATCACTATCAATATTATCATCAATATCATCATGAATATCACTATCAATATCACCATTAATATCAATGACATGATATTCATAATGAATATCACTGTCGATATCAATATTATAATGAATATCACTATCAATATCAGTGTTTATAATGTGATAAATATCAATATTAATATATCATGATGAATATCATTCTCATTATTTAATGTCATGATAAATATCTTTATTATTATCAATGTTATTATGAATATCACTATCATTTATTATTAAAGCCATGATAAATGTCATTATATTCATTATTGATATCAATATCATGATGAATATCATTATCGATACCAATGTCATGTTGAATATCATTATAAATATCATTGTCGCGATAAATATCATTGCCAATAATCATGTCATGATGAATATCATTATCAATATTTATGTCACGATGAATATCATTTCCAATATCAATGTCATGGTGAATATATCATCATCAATATTAATGTCATGATGAATATCATTATCATTATTACGATCATAATGAATATCATTATCAATATTAATGTCACGATGAATATCATTGCCAATATCAATGTCATGATGAATATCATTATCAATATCAATATCATGATGAATATCATTATTATTACGATCATAATGAATATCATTATCAATATCAATATCATGATGAATATCATTATTATTACGATCATAATAAATATCATAATTATTAAGGCCATGATGAATATCATTGTCAATATTAATGTCATGATGAATATCATTATTATTATTACAATCACTATGAATATCATCAATATCAATTTCATGATGAATATCATTATCATTATTATCAATATTACTTTAACAAAAATGAAAAGATTTTAAAATTCAATCCATCATTTTAAAATCATAAAATAAAAAAAATTTTCAATTTATTTTTCAGTGTATATTATCATTGATGATGCTGTGTACAAGTGATATTTTTGTACTGATAACGTACTGCAGTATAGTCGAGTCATTTTTCATAATGATATCAGTCGCTGGAATTTTATGGCTAAGGTACAAACGTCCGAACATGCCACGGCCGATCAAAGTAAGTCAATAAGTCAAAATCATCATCATCATCATCATCAACTAAACTATCAATTATTAATTATAACCATTGCTTTTAGATACCAATCCTAGTACCAATAGTATTCGTAATTATCTGTTTATTTCTGGTAATTGTACCTTGCCTCGAGCGACCCATTGAAGTTGGCATGGGTGCACTGATTACATTATCCGGCGTACCGGCTTATTTTGCTGGTATTGTGTGGAAGAATAAGCCAATGTGGTTCCTCAATTTAAATGGTAAATTTTTCATAAATTGTATAATTAAAAAATAATATTATATAAATTATTTTTAATTTACAGAAAAGGCAACCCACGTGGTTCAAAAATTGTTCATATCAGCCAGAGAAGAAAAAGATGATTAGAAAAAATTAGATAAATAAATTAACGAACAAATTTTGATCAACTGACATATTATTTATGCTCACATATTTTAACTTGAACTAATTAATCATGAATCTTTTTTATTAATTAACAATTCGCCTGTCTTACATAAAATTTCTTCAGCGAAAATCTACCAAAAATTTTATACATTTTTTTTTGCTACAATATTTATTATTATTATACATAACATTGTATACATTTTTTAAAATACATATTTTAGCGTGAACTATATATATTTAATTTGATATAATACCTTCAAACATGTATGTACAATAATTCATTATTTATTTTTGTTTCTTGAAACTTTTATTAAATTATTTTATTTATTTCTTCTTTATTAATTTTTAACAAACAAAAAATGTCGGAATGTGTTCAATAATTATTTTCAAATTAAAATTCTATCCAGCGAAGAAATTAATTATATTAAACATTTATTTAATAGTGATAAATTATGCAGATCCATGAATATCTTCTGGATTAAACATACCCTTTATAAAAAAAAAAAAAAAAACATTTTTTAATTATTATTTTAGTTGATAATTTGTGTTACAAATGTCATGAAAAATTATAAAATTGTTAATTATTAAATTGAAGAAATAAAAATTTTACTTTTTTTTGTTAGGAAGAAATCAATGAGTAAAAAATAAATTTTTTTTTTTTCAAGTAATTTAATAATTTTTTATGACATTTTTAATGTAATTTAATGAGTGAAAAAATAAAATAATATACCTTAGCACGTCGAAGAATAGAATCTTTACTAGCATCATAGGGATGATCTTTACTGGGTATTTCTAAGACTGCTGGGACAGGTTGTGTGTGACTGTCAATAACATGACGAATCATTTCAGCGACCTAAAGAAGAAATAAAATTATTTATTTATTTAAAGAAGAAATAATTAAACTAAATTAAATATTTTAATAAAGTGAATAAATAAAAAATATAAGATATATTTATCTAATGAAGATATAAATTAATTGATTTCTTCTTTGAATAAATTCATCTATTTAAAGAAGAAATAAATAAATAACTTAATTAAATACTTTAATAAAATGAATAAATAAAAAATGTAAAATACATTTATCTAATAAAAAAATACATTAATTTATTGATTTTAAAAAGAAATAAATAAATTAACTTATCAAACAAATTATATAAAGAATAATCTATATTATTAAGAGAATAAGAAAAATTTTGTTTCCCGGAAAGTCATATGATAATGACCTTGTATCTTGTGAACTATTGACATTTTTAAAGATATAAGCTCACCCCGACATTACACTCATTGAGACCTTTCATTTGAGTACCCACATCAATTTTTCATATATTTTATATATTTATATATATTATATATATATAAATATATGAAAAATATATCAAAATGCATGTGGGTACTCAAATGAAAGCTCTTGATGAGTGTAACGTCAGGATGAGCTTATATCTTTAAAATTATCAATATTTAAGAAATGACCTTGTATCTTGTCAACTACTGACATTTTTACAAATATAAGCTCATCCCGATGTTACACTTATCAAGACCTTTCATTTGAGTACCCACATCAATTTTTCATATATTTATATATATTACATATATATGTATATATGAAAAATATATAAAAAATGCATGTGGGTACTCAAATGAAAGCTCTTGATGAGAATAACATCAGGATAAGCTTATATCTTTAAAAATGTCAATCGTTAAAAAAGTACAGTGCAATTTAACAAAAGTAATTATTTAATAAAGCAAAATTTTAATTTTTTACTGTCTATAAGTCACGGCAGTCACATAGTGACTGCAAAATTGCTAGTAATTTTATTAAATTGATTTAAAAAAGAAACAATTAAATTAAATTAATAAAAAAAAGTAAAAATAAATAATTAGACCTTAAAAAATTTATTAAGAACTGTTAATCAATAAAAATTTCTTCACTATTAAAATAAAGAGTTGAATTTTAGCAAAAATATTTTTTTAAATAAAATAAAATAAAAATTATCTAATAACTTAAAATTATTGATATTAATATTTATACATACATTTTGATTGATGAGAATAATATCAATATCATCGCGTTTCACAAATTGTTTAAATGTGTCTTCAATATCACCAACTGCAGTGTCTGTTTAAAAAAAAATTAATTATTATAAAAATACAAATCAATATCTATTCAAATAAAATTCGTAATTAATAATAATTATACATACTTTTATCGACAACCATAAAATTCGACTGGCGATTTTTATTTATTTCGCCCACACCTCCCAAGAGAAATCCAACACAAGTGTCCTGAAAATTAAAAATTAATTTGACATTTTTTTTTTATTTTTATAACATTGATAATTAAAATTTACATTTTTAAATGAAAAAAAATTCGACTTTATAATTAATAAATTTATTAAACAAAAAATATTAAAAATTCTAAATGCAATTTTAAAAAAATATTTTTTTACTTGTAATTTTTATTGATTTAAAATATAAAAAATTTTTAAATGTCTGCTAATTTTATAATAAAAGAAACTAAAGTTAACAATGAAAATTGAGTTTTTTTTATTGAAAAACTGATTAAAAAAAAAATTTTTAATAATTTCATTTTTAAAAAACTTGAAAAACTTTAAATGTAATTTATTAAAAATATTTTTTCGCTCTAATTTAATTAATAAAAAAAAATCATAAAATTAAAAACGTCGACTAAATTTTGCATTATAAGTTAACAGACATCTTTTTGATTTTCCAACAAATAAATTACTCCTAAAAAAAAAATTGTTTTTTATGACACTGTTAGCAGACGTCTAAAAATTTATAATTTTTCTTATTAATTAAATTACAACTAAAAAAATTTTTCAAATTTTTTACATGTGAATTTTTTTTTTAGTTTAATTGAAATTTTTTCAATAAAAAATTTTGAAATGTCTAACTTAACTTTCATTTTTTTTAAAATTATTTTTTATTAACCATAATTTTTTGACATATCTACAAGTGGAATTTTTAATGAAAATTAAGTTAGCTGACATTTCAAAATTTTTAGAAATTTTTTATTGAAGAAATTTCAATTAAAAAATTAAAAAAAAAAAATTCACTTGTAAAAAACTTTAAAAACTATGAGTGCAATTTTTTAAAAATATCTTTTTAGTTGTAATTTAATTAATAAGAAAAATTAAAAATTTTTAGACGTCTGCTAACTTTAGTTTCATGAATTTTTAATAAAATTTATTTATTTAAAAAAATTCTAGAAATAATTATAAATTATCCAACTTCACTAAAATTATAATAAATAATAAAATTTTAAAATATACTTCTAATATAAAAAAAATAATAATAAATAAAATTACCTCATCACCAATAACAGCAATAAGTTTTCCTTTTCCTGCAGAATGAAGAGCCATTATTAATAATATATTTTTTTCCAACAATCAGATTAATTCAACACAAATTAACTCAATGTTAATATTTTTTAATTAACAATTATTGATAATATTATTGTTAATAAAATCAGATGACTGTCACGCCTTTCTCGTGACTATTTTTCTGCTTATCTTTTTTATCAATTTTCATTAACTGAAACTATATATAGCTAGATTGACAACTCACAAAATATATATAAAAAAACACTATAAATTTAGTTAGTTTATGGCACTGAAGTTGACAGAAATTTTTTTAGAACTTTATAACAATTAAATTATTATAAAAATAAATTAATTAAAAAATTCCACATGTGAAAATTAATAAAAATTACAAGTGAAAATTTTTAGAATTTTTTTATTGGTTAAAAAAATTTTTAAAATTGACACCTGACGGCTAACTTCAGTGTTATGTTAGTTTGTATATTCTTCACTAGGTGTCACTTCTGTCTTATTCTATTTTTTTTTACTATTATTAGTGTTATTATTATTATGCGACATGCTCATGCAAATGAAGGCAAAAATATAACAAACAGCTGATGATTAATAATTGAAGGTAAAAATAATTTTTTTTTTAATTAATTAATTAATTAATTACCGTCACCAGCTACTGAAGAGTCTTCTCTTAATGGATGACGTTTTCGGTGCTCTCTATGTTGGTTTGACTCTGACATTTTTATTTTTGTTAGTAAACAATTGAATTGCACTTGAAAAAAAATTAATTTTTTTTTTTTTTAGACTTTGAAATTTCTTCACTGGGAAAATTGAAGCTTACATTTAAATTTGGTGATTATTATTAAGGTTGGTGTTAATTTTTTAATTAATAATTTTATAAATAAATAATCTATTTTTTTTTGACAGTTTTAATAATTAAAATTTTAAAATGACAATTAAAAATGTTGATTGTTTTAGAGTGAGAATTTTGGTAGACTGAAGATATAAAAAGAAGTAAGTTATAATAAGATTGGATCTAGGGATTGAAAAATTGGCATTCAAGTGTTTAAATAAATGCTGGCTGGGCTCCAAAGATATTGTGACATAAATATATGAGAAAGCTAGAGGTTTGTTTTGTTATTTTAGACACTTTTAATTGTATTAAATTATAATACTTAAGTCAGCTGACAATTGTCAATTTTTTTTTATTTTTATAACTAATTTTAAATTTAAAAAAATGCTTATAAAATTTTTTACTAATGATTTTTTTTTTATAATAATTTAATTGCTATAAAATTATAAAAAAAAAATGTCTAATGTCTGTCAACTTCAGTGTCATTATTAAATTAAAATATACTAAAATAAAAAGACATCTATTTTTTTTTTTATTATAATTAAATTATTATTAAGAAAATTTTAATTAAAAAATTACCCATTTAGAAATTGAAAGAAAATTACTAGTATAAATTTTTTTTTGATTAATATTTAATAAGAAAAAATATTATCAGAAGTCGGCAGATTTTAGTATTATTAAATTATCAGGTATTTATTGAAGATAATTTTATGAATTAAATTTAATGAAAGATAAATTTAATTTAAAAAAATGATTCTATCATATAAATATGCCGGAGATTTTTTTTATTCTCTTAATTATATAGAATATTATTACTAGCAACCTTGCAGTCACTATGTGACTGCCGTGACTTGTAAACTATAAATAAATAAAATTTTGCTTTATTAAGTAATGACTTTGGTTAAGTCGCACTGTATTTTCTTAAGTATTGACGTTTTTAAAGATATAAGCTCATCCCGATGTTACACTCATCAAGAGCTTTCGTTTGAGTACCCACATGCATTTTTGATATATTTTTCATATATACATATATATAATGTATATAAATATATGAAATATATGAAAAATTGATGTGGGTACTCAAATGAAAGGTCTCGATAAGTGTAATGTCGGGGTGAGCTTATATCATTAAAAATGTCAATAGTTAAGAAAGTACAGTGCAATTTAACAAAAGTCAGTATTTAAAATAGTCATATGATAAAATCGGTTTTTTTCTAGTTAAAATTAGTACGATTGCAAAGGTCTTGACTTGAATTTGTGCCTTTTCAAGGTTTTATATCATTTTCACCGATAGTCAATTTATTATGATAAGAATTTAGGCTGCATACGAAAATACTCTATCTCTTGATACATAATTAAGAAATGACCTTGTATCTTATAAACTATTGATATTTTTACAGATATAAGCTCACCCCGACATTACACTCATCGAGACCTTTCATTTAAGTACCCACATCAATTTTTCATATATTTATGTATATTATATATATGTATATACGAAAAATATATCAAAAATGCATGTGGGTACTCAAATGAAAGCTCTTGATGAGTATAACATCGGGATGAGCTTATATCTTTAAAAATGTCAATATTTAAGGAAGTACAGTTGATTTTAACCAAAGTCATTATTTAATAAAGCAAAATTTTATTCATTTATATTTCACAGTCACGGCAGTCACATAGTGACTGCCAAGTCGCTAATTTTATATAAAATTTTTCTCAAAATATTTTTTTTGTTTTGTTAAAAATAATTAAAAAAAAAATTGCAGATTAAAAATGCCTGGACAAGTAAACCACCAAGTAAACATATCCCGTAAAACATTCCACACCATCTATGAGATATCAAAGCTCCTGAACACAAACCTCGACCAGACAACCCTGAGTATCTGCATCAGACTCTGCGAGAACGGAGTGAACCCTCAGGCACTTGCAAAGGTCGTAAAAGAAATCCAGAAAGAAGTCAAGGCTCTTGAGAATAATGACATAGAATCCACAAAAGCTCTCAATAAATAAATAAATAAATAAATAATAATTACTTAATTTATATTAAAAAATTAATTTATTCATCAAAAAATATTCTTTCACACCGGAATGAGATTTAAGGAAGAATTAGCTGCGTTACTTTGAATAACATGACTGATTTACAGCTCAGTTTTTTCTTTCTTCTGTAAAAAAAAAAAAAAAATTATTTTATTAATTTTTTTTATTGCAATAAAAATGTTTTGATAATTAATAATTGTAGTTTAAAATTTTACTTGAGCAGAATGTTTCCCTGGATAAATTTGTCCTTCGAGAGTGACATGCTCCAATTCTGGTTGATCTATCAGGAAGTTTTTGGCATCAACTGCTTGTGAGCCTTCACGGAACATAAAAACTGCCCGTTTTGGTTCAATAGGATATCTATAATTAATTAATAGTTAATTCAAAACTCAAATGACATGTATGCATAGTGAAACTAACAATAATTATTTAATATTAAAAAATCAAATATAAATTTTTACTAAAAATCAAAAAAAAAAAAAAATAAACGATTCGAGGTTATAATACTTGACGACACTTTTATAAAAAAGAAAATTTCAAAACAGAAATTTGCTTTTGTTCTTCAAGTTAAAATTTACGAATATTTGAAGCAATTTTTATAATAAAATTACTTTCTGTATTAAATGTTATTTCACAAAAAATTTTGTTGTGCTTGATGTAAACAATCAACACAGTATATCGTAAATGTCAATAAATAATATCAATATGTCTGACTGTTCCGATACTGGGTATTAGCTTATTTTGGGTGTACCAATAGACAAACAGTAAATTTTAAATAACGATAGGGTTTTTTTTTTGTAGTATCAATTAATTGTATCGAATTCTTATCAAAACCATTAAGAGACCTTGATAAGTCAGAAATCTAAGACTATTGACATGATTAACATTTTTTTTCAATATTTCCAATAGAATTTAAAGTTTCATTCATATTTTATTATGTAAAAAAAAGATTGAGGTTTCTAACAAAGAAAAGTTCATTTAATTTGATTGAGTACGAGATAAAATATAAAATAATAATTGTCAAATCGTTCCAGTATTGGGTCTTTTACCTTATAAGTAAGAAACATTTTTATAATTTCAATTTCATCATTCATTCTTAAATTTTGTGACTCTTAAATTAAGTACTTAAAAAAATTAAAACATACCTTTCAGCAATAATATGATTATTCTGTAAGCTTCCCTGCCAAAGACGGAAAATATTGTCAGCTTCACTGTCTGTAAGATCTTTCTTTAGGTCAACAAACATCATAATACTTTTTCCGACTTTTGTCATACGTAACAAATTATCTGGATCTGAAGCGTCAATCTAAAAAAAATTAATTTTCAAATTTTAAAATTGTACATATAAATTAAAAGAAATTAATTTACCTGTGAGATATCAATTTGCGGTTGCGGGCGCAAATGTTCTGGCAGTTCATCGGGTTCTAATGGCTCTTCATCTTCCTGCAATTAATTACAATTAATAAATTATTAAATTTATAATTTTCTAAAAAATTCTAGAATAATAAAGTTAACCGACATGTTTAATTTTTTTGTTTTGCTTAATTTATTAAATTATTACTAAAAAATGTTTTTAAAAAATTGCACTTATAGTTTTTGAAGTTTTTAACAAATGAAAAAATTTTTTTGTAATAATTCTTTAATAAAAAAAATAATAATAATTTTTAGATGTCGGCTAACTTTATTTTTATAAAAATTTCACATGTAGATGTCAAAAAAATTTATTGTTGTTTTTTTTTAGTAGTAATTTATTTGCTGTAAAAATCCAAAAAATGACAATTGTCAGCTAACTTCAACTTCATTATTAAAGTTAGCATTGAACACTTGACCAATTTTAGATTTTATTTAAAAATCAAATTAATTCTAAAAAATTATTTTTAAAAAATTGCATTTTTAATTTTTAAAAATTTCTACATGTTTCTAAAAATTATTAAATATCTGCTAAATTAATTTTGATAAAGTTAGCAATCACTCGACAATTTTTTATCAAAAAAATTTGTTCCAAAAAATTACACTATTCAGCTAATATAATTATTAAATGTCAATTTTTTTTTCTCATTATTTTTTACCATAAATTATTTATTACAAAAATTCTTAAAATTATAAAATATCTGCTAAATTAATTTTTATTTCTTATAAATAATTCTTACCTCCCACTGGTCGAATAATCTCTCCATATCAGCATCATTCATATCCAAGATACTTTTGTCTTTCCATGACTTAACTTTCTCCTCTACACAATAAACATTAATTACAAAACATAAACAAATTACTAGCATTAAATTTTTATTCATTTTTAAAAAATTTGTCTCTATTGTTTTAAAAATAATTTTTAGGTTATAAACTTTAGATTTTTATTTTTTAATTAAAATTTTACAAACTTAAAAATTTCAAATAGTTTTTTCAATTATTCTAATTTTTATTAATCAATTAATTAAATAATTTATTAATTAATTTTACTTTTTTTTTTAATAAATTATTTTAAATAACAACAATTCTCAATTGTTGTCGTTCGGTAATTTTTTATCTGACGTTTGACGTTTTAAATGATAGACTCTGCACATGCGCGGGAATTTTTGCGCATGCGCAAAAGTCCTCGCGCATGCGCGCAAGTTTTTAATTTAGAACAAGCAAATTTACGGGGAAAAAAAATTTATTTACAAAATTTTGACTGAAAATAAGTTAAAAAAATTAATTTTTTAAGTAAAGTTAATTAATTATTATAGTAAGTTATTTAATTAAAAATTAAAAAGTTAATTTAAGCGCTTACTGACATCTAGTGAAAAAATAACAAACTAAAAGTAGCGATAAAAAAAAATTTAAATGTACTTTTTTTGACAGATGTCATTATTAACAGTAATGGCCGCGCAGCTGAACCGACAACCGTAGATAATAACAATAATTACAATAATAACAATATTTATTACAATAATAATAACAATAAGTATGTATAATAATTGAACGTGAAACTATTTTCAAAATTATAAACACTCATCACGCCTTTTGTCAAAGTTTATTGCTTTATTTGACAGTAACAATAATAACAACAATAATAATAAAAATAATAATTCTTTACTGGTAAGCATTTTAATTCTATCAATAAGTTAATGATTTTAAATCAATATGTGACACACATGTTTTTATTAAATTAAATTTACAAAAAAAAATTTTTCTTAAATTGTGACGCAGTAAATTTTTTTTTTTTGTTTTTATAGATTATCAATTTTTTTGAGATAAGATGGGAGTGATGAGTAATGATTGATAATTTTTTTTTTTTTAACACGGTGAAAAAAAAATTTGTGTCAAGTTATTATTTTTAATTAAAGGTAACGTGAGAATTAAAACAAAACAATTGTGTTAATTATTTTAAATATTTATTGTTTATTATTATTATTATTATTATTATTATTATTATAACAGTAAAATTTTTATTATTAACTGTCAGAAATTGAATTTTTTTTTTATTTTATTTTTTAAAAAATATTTTTTTTATTTGAAATTAATTTTATTAGTTAAAAAAAAAAAAAAAAATTTTTTTTGAGTAAAATTAATTTATGATAAATTTAGCAAATATTTAATAATTTTTAGAATATTTTTTAACAAATAAATTATGGCAAAAAAAAAAATATAAAAAAAATTGACATTCAGAAAAAATGCAATTTTTCAAAAATAATTTTTTAGAGCAAATTTTTTTGTTAAAAAAAAAATTAAAAAATTCTCTAGTGAGTGCTAACTTATGACACTGAAGTTAGCAGACGTCTAAAAATTTTTGATTTTTTTTTTAAATTAAATTACAACTAAAAAAAGATTTATAAAAAATTGCACTTGTAGTTTTTCAAGTTTTTTACATATCAAATTTTTTTTTTTAATTGTTTAATTGAAATTTTTTCAATAAAAAAATTTTTTTTATTTTTTTAATGTCGGCTAACTTAATTTTCATTGCTAACTTTAATGTCATAATTAATTTATTAAATTTTTTTTTAGTGCCACAAAGTACTTAGTGTAATGTGAAAAATTAAAAAAAAAAAAATGCCAAGTTTAAGAAAAAAAGTCGTAGGATTTATGCGACAACTGTCAATAAGTAACCTAACGGCAGCGGTTGAAAATATTGGACACAATGACAACACCCTGACTCCCAGGTCACCGCCGGCGGATTTTCCTGGTGGTTGTTTTGTGACTCGTTACTTAAATGGGTAAGAACAAAATTTATTTATTTATTAGATAATTTATAAGAGAGTTAATTTTTAATAAAATAAAACAATTTAGATTGGAAGAAAAGATAGAAGGCCCAGTGATCCTCCACGGTCGAAATCCCGAGGAACTTCCGATTAAAGTCCTGGAGAAGCTGGACGACAATGAAGAAGTTTTTGCAGCTTTCACGGGGCCAGATCGTGGGTTGACAACTGTCAATTTGAAGCAGAAGCACTTGAGTATTAGCGACCCGGATGTTGACTACATTGATATTCTTGATCAGAATGATCAGGAAGCTACAGGTAATTTTTTGCTGGTATTTTGGTTGCTTAAATTGAATTAGTGAGATTGAAATAGTTATATTTGCTGTTGGTTAGCAGATCTTAAATGCGCGCCATCTCTGAGTAGTTCCAATGATAGTTCCAACCTTAAAAAATATAATAGAGAACTTTTAATAATTTTTTATTACTAAAAATTAATATTTAATTTAAAGAATTATTTATTTACAATTCAAAATATTTTAATAATTCATTTTTCAAGAAGAAATGAGAAATTTTTGAGAAAAAAAAATTATAGTTTTTAAATTCTCTGTAAGATGGCGCTGTTAAGCGGATATGGTACTACGTCACTACCCCGCCAAAATTCAAAAGTAAAAAATAATTTTTAATTATAAAATGACCTAATTAGATGAATTCTTGAAATATTTTTCCTCTATTTTATCATAATAACTTTTTCAAACTTTTTAAAAAATTATAAAATTAAAAAATAGTTATATTTGCTGTTGGTTAGCAGAACTTAAATCAGCGCCATCTCTGGGTAGTTCCAATGATAGTTCCAACCTTCAAAAATATAATCGACAACTTTTAATAATTTTTTATTTCTAAAAATTAATATCTAAATTTAAGAATTCCTTATTTGCAATTCAAAATATTTTAATAATTTATTTTTCGGCAAAAAATGAGACATTTTTGAGAAAAAACAAATTTTAGTGTCTAAATTATCTGTAAGATGGCGCTGTAAAGCGGATATGGTACTACGTCACCGGCCCGCTAAAATTCAAAAGTAAAAAATGTTTAATTTAAAAATGACCTAACTAAATAAATTATTTAAATATTCTTCCTTCATTTTGTTAGAATAACTTTTTCTAAACTTTTAAAAAATAACAAAATAAAAAACCAATAAATATTTACTTATTGTCAGCAAAATCTCACTAATTTAATTTAAGAAAATTTTAAAGTGCTTTTTTGAAGTTTCTTGACCTCAAAAATTTTGTGAAATCTGAATAATTACTCAAAAATAATAAAATATTTAGAAGTAATCAAATTTTAATAATAAATAATTTATTTTCTTAGCACGTCAAATAAATAAATATATATGTAAAAAAATAAAACTAAAATATTAACGCAGTTAACACGTCAATGGATTGCATATTTTCTGTGGCTGACAATCGATGGCTGCTGATCCGTACAAACGAGTCATGCCCGATAGACAACAGCACCATAAAGATCCGAGCTGCTGGGAAGCTATACGAACCAGACAAGAAGTACTCTGGTGAAAATAACGAGTACACTTTCCAAGAAGTTGACCAGAAAAATTCCAATGTAAATTTTAACGGGAAGAAAATAACCGGCGTGAAATTTCTCTGTGAAGATGATAAAAAGAGTGAAGATTTTGTGGACATGGCGACTATTGATGAGGGAATTCAAGCCTCGAGTGACAGCGGGGACAATGTTGACAACTCGGATGATGATAACAAGATTGACTTGATCCGTGTGTCTGATGATACGCTTGGTAACATAACCCCAACAGATGTTGATGTTGATGACATCATTCCGCCGCCGAAGGATTTTGCAAATGACATGATACCACTGAGAAAATCTAAAAGTGCACCTGCGCCCTTCAAAAATGCTCAAAAAGGTTCTGATTGAAAAAGTTGCTTTTTTTCTGTCGAGCATGCTAGTTCTTCTTTTTTAAACATTGCCAATTATTTCTTCACTAGGAAATTAAAAGAAGAAAAAAAATTAAAGCTTCGCATGGTTTTTATTTGCATATATATATATTTATTTATTTATTCATATATTTTTTTTTTAATTGCATTACATGCTTGAAGAAACATGTCTTTAAGAAAATAAAGATTAATAATGTAATTTTAATTATCAATTTTTTTCAGCTTCATTGTCAAGCAACGAGATGATAGCGGGAATTGAAAACTGGTTCCTACCTCACGAACTAGCCTATGGAATTGCGACGACTTTGTACGAGAAAAATCCGACTAATAATGTCACCAATGGAGAACCTATTGCTGATTGCTTTGGAATCGCTGCGCGACCTAATGCAGCCATTTTGATTCTAGCCGATGGTGTCAATTGGGGTAAGTTACTTTATATGGAAGCTTTATGATTTTTAAAAAAATCGTAAAAATTATTGTAATGAAATATAAAGAAGGAATATTTGAATAATATAGGGTAAATGCACCAATTATTGACCGATTAAGGTTTTCTTTTTCTGTACTAAGCTATAAAAAATCTATTAACCTACTAAAAACAATTTGTAATGGATTTTATTGAAGTTAAATACTTAATTAATAATACTTAATAACTATTTATAATCAAAATTAACTTAAATTATATTAATTTTGTTATTTGAATGTTGAAATACTAAAATCACCAATTATTGACTGGAGAAACCCAATAAATGACCGAGCGTTCTCCAATTAATTCACCGCTCAAATAATTATAAGTAATTTTGTAAACTACATGTATGTAATTAAATTTATGCAGTACTTTTGAAGTATTAACGACATCTTTAACAAAACTAAACATACAATATAATTTTAAATCGTACTTTTTTATAAAATAATATAAATAATAGCAATAATTAACATAAAGTCACATTTCTTTAGGTCACAAATAATCACAAATTCATTTTGATGACGATAATTCTTCTGATTCACTTGAAATTTTTTTATTCTACTCCTTCTTTTTTTCAATTAAAGCTTTTTTACTAGCTTGTAACTCTTTTTTATTTTTTTAATTGCTTAGCAATTTTTTCTTCTAATAATTCGTTCTTTGATATAACCGTTCACTAAAAAAATTACAACAAAATAAAATTTAATAATCAAAAAAGATTTTAAGTATTATTTTAATTATAAATATACATTTTATAATGATTATTTTTATAGTTACAAAATATTGAATGACTAAAGTACTTTAAACACTTGACAGATTTAATTTTAAGGTTGAGAAGTTAATATTATAAATATACGGTGATTAATTGGATTGTGATAAAATCAGAGGGTCTAATAAATGACCGAATGAATTTTTTACTGGGTAAAGGGCTTCTGACGGATCCAATAGTTGACCGGTCTTAAAATAATATTAAAACTTATAATTTAACTTTATTTTTTCAAAAAAGTTGGAATCTGATCTTTAATTAACATAATAAAACTAAAATATTTTATATTATGCCGATAAATATCACTAAATTAATAATGAAATGTACTCACTCTCCAATTGTACGGTAGTTATTTTTGACTTTCCGTCAAGTTTGCTTCAAATTGCTGACGTAGATTGACAATAATTTATGGATAAGGTTGCTATCAGGGTAAAAATAAATTTTTAATAAATAATAAAAAAATTATTTATGTAAAATAATATTTAATTAAATACCCGGACTCATAAATATTTGACTGATTAATATTTAACAAAATAAATAATTCTTTTCATATGAACTGTAAGCGATAAAAAATGTAAGTAATTTTTCATATTACCGACGGTCGATACTAAAAAAAATTTTCATGTTCCAGGTGTGAAAGCCAGCTTAGCAGCGCGCTCAGCCGTCCATGGGAGTATGGAGTACCTGAACAAAGCTTTGTTCACTCCGTCAAATAACAGTGGCGTAACTACAACAAAAGATGTGTTTGTTGCATTACTCCGTTCATTCCACGCCGCTCACTCGATGATTCTTCAAGAACAAGGGATGCTTACCACCCTGACTGTTTGCGTTGTCCTGCCAATCACAAGCACTGATCCCAACAAACATAAAAAATATGTCGCTTGTACTTGTAATGTGGGTGATAGTCTTGCTTATGTTTATTCCAAGTAAGTAACTCATTATCAATTTATAAGATTTTAAATTTCGCGCCAAAATGTTCCGTACGAATCCTGCTGATGTCGTTAGTAGCTTTTGCTGATAATTTTCCTAACCAAGATGGCGGATCACCAGTTTTAAGATTTTTTTGTTGCTTATAATTAATCTAAAAGGATTTAGAGTGTAATTTTTTGAGGAATTATTTTTTGGCATGGTATAAGTTCAAAAAAAATTTAAGATTAAAAATTTTAAGACTATCTAATATCTATCAAATAATTAATTAAAAGTACATTAATTAGAAAAATTTGAAGAAAAAAATTTTTACGTACTATTTAGAGGTTTTTTTTTTCTTTTTCTTATAGGAAAACTGGAGTAAGAGAAATAACGCGAGGATCTCATGATATTTATTGCATGCGTGACATGCGCGACGCATTAGGAGCACTGGGACCTGTTGACGGATGCAATCCAGAACTGAACAATCTAACTCTAGCAATGACAGAAGTTGATGAGTCAGACATAGTATTTTTGACTAGCGATGGAATTTCTGATAATTTTGACCCCGTGGTGGGTAAATTTGCCATACTACCTGCCAATAGCCATAGTAGTAATAGTCAGCGCCCGGGACGGAGTGACGCCAGACATCACACGCGCATGCGCAGCAGTTGTTCCGACAACAATGATTTGCCAGTGGTCGAAGCTTATCAGCGGCACGAACTTACGTTGCTGCGCATGGAAGACTTACTATCACGAGGAGTTTCTGGTGACGGTCCTCCCTGCAATAGTGCCAAAAAATTGTGCGAGTTGTTACTCGATTTTGCTGTAAGTTTTTTATATTTTTTGAAAATTCTATTAAACTTCTATCAGACTTTTGAGCTCAAAGAGCGCAAAAGCACAGAAAAGGTATCTTTTTGAGCTTGGAGAGCTCAAAATAACACACAGATTGTATTTTTGAGCTCAAGAGCTTAAAAAAAACAGCCATGTATTAACGGAATTAGCGGGAAGTTGCAGAGATGGCCTTTAGGGTCAACCGTTTTCCTAATTTTTTTCATCAGTGTAGGGTAAATGCACCAATTATTGACCGATTAAGGTTTTCTTTTTCTGTACTAAGCTATAAGAAATCTATTAACCTACTAAAAACAATGTGTAATGGATTTTATTAAAGTTAAATACTTAATTAATAATAATTAATAACTATTTATAATAAAAATTAATAAAATTATATTAATTTTGTTATTTGAATCTTGAAATACTAAAATCACCAATTATTGACCGACCGTTCTCCAATTAATTGACCGCTCGAATAATTATAAGTAATTTTGTAAACTACATGTATGTAATTAAATTTATGGAGTACTTTTGAAGTATTAACGACATCTTTAACAAAACTAAACATACAATATAATTTAAAATCGTACTTTTTTATAAAATAATATAAATAATAGCAATAATTAACATAAAGTCACATTTCTTTAGGTCACAAATAATCAAAAATTCATTTTGATGACGATAATTATTCTGATTCACTTGAAATTTTTTTATTCTACTCCTTCTTTTTTTCAATTAAAGCTTTTTTATTAGCTTGTAATTCTTTTTTATTTTTTTAATTGCTTAGCAATTTTTTCTTCTAATAATTCGTTCTTTGACATAACCGTTCACTAAAAAAATTACAACAAAATAAAATTTAATAATCAAAAAAGATTTTAAGTATTAGGGGAGCTTGGGGTCGCCCCGGTCACCAACATTTAAAAAAATCTACTATACCTTAAATTTTGAATTTTGTTTTATTTTGTACGCTTATTCAGCTGAGAGTAAAAAATAGATTCAAAACTTAGAAATATAGTATTTATTAGTAATAATTAAAAATTAAAAAATTGATTCCCATTTGATCTAAGAATCGGAATCCGGAATCATTTCCGTAAGGCTTTTAATATAGTTTACAGCAAGATAAAAATTTATAATTTTTATGTATATAATCTATAAATCTTCCTTTATAAATGGGAATTTTTATTATACTGTAATTATTAATCGTTTTCTTTTGAATAAAGTTTATTTTCTCAACTATCGGTTGAGGTCATACCGGTCAAAGCTGTGGGGTTACACCGGTCAGTTTATTCAATTGTTTATTGTTTGACAGCTCGTGTGTTTATTTAAAACTAACCACTATTTTGTAATTAATTAAAAAAAAAAAATCACAAAAGAAGCCAGTTAAATTGTCCGATAATGTTAATGAAGAACTCCAAACAAGTAAGTCAGCAGAAAAACCTAGAAAGAATTCAAGGATATGAATAACTTCCACTTGTGCGACGGATAAATATCAAGTATGGCCTAAAAAACGCAAATTAGTTAAAAAACAGAAAGTTTAAATGTTCAAAATTACCAATATTTAATGTTATTTGCTGCTAAAGTTTCGATAAAAAAATTAATTTTAAATTTTTATCAAATTTTAACAATATAATTCGGAATTTCTTATTTTTAAAATAAAATTAATACTGACCGGAGCGACCTGCCTAATGACCGGGGTGACCCAACACGTTGGGTCACCCCGGTCAAACTCATTATTTCTATAATTCCTCAAATATTTTTATTTATCTTCATACTTATATTTTTTAGTAATTGCATTTAGTTCTTCAGATGTCAAAGAAATGAATAAAGTCTTTTTTATTATTCCAAAATGATAATTTTAATATTTTTTTAAATTCACTTCTTAGGTGACCGGGGGGACCCCACACTCCCCTATTTTAATTATAAATATACATTTTATAATGATTATTTTTATATTTACAAAATATTGAATGACTAAAGTACTTTAAACACTTGACAGATTTAATTTTTAGGTTTAGAAGTTAGTATTATAAATATACGGTGACTAATTGGATTGTGATAAAATCAGAGGGTCTAATAAATGACCGAATGAATTTTTTACTGGGTAAAGGGCTTCTGACGGATCCAATAGTTGACCGGTCTTAAAATAATATTAAAACTTATAATTTAACTTTATTTTTTCAAAAAAGTTGGAATCTGATCTTTAATTAACATAATAAAACTAAAATATTTTATATTATGCCGATAAATATCACTAAATTAATGATGAAATGCACTCACTCTCCAATTGTACGCTAGTTATTTTTGACCGCTTTATGGCTGGTTGCGTTGTAAACAAACTCTGAATATTTTTTTAAAGCTATAATCACTGCGCAATTAATTGCGTAATTTTTTATTATGATGATTAAATGCCATATATTTTTATTTTAATACTTTAAGAAAAAAAAAACCCTTGTAAAATATTAATTAATTAACTTTTTTATACATCGGTCAACTAATTGGTGACCGGTCAACAACTGGTGCATTTACCCTATTACAGAAATTTTTATTAAATAGTGAAAATAATCAATAAAATTTAAATTTCCCAAAAAATTCCCGCCATTAAATTAGCCGCCCCTGGCGTGAAAAATTTAAACCTGTCCACCCGCCGCCATGTTAAATTATGAAAAAGAAATAAAGATGTCGACGTCATTGTATCTATGACCAAGACGATAATTTATTTATATCATTGACTGTCACTAAACATATTTTTCAGTACACGCTTAGTTGTTATTATGACAAGTTATATAATTACTTACTAATAATAACGTGCTCGTTTAATTTTTAATAAATAAAATACACGTGTAATACTAATTGTCATAATATTTAATGTATGTTCATAGTCTTTTTGTACTGCATAAACAAGCAATCAAGTACTTTTTTTTTTTCACAAAAATAAAAAGATAAGGCGAACAAATGGATTTAAAATGCAACAGGCGATTTTGACGTATGACTCAGTATTAAAAATGGTGGATAAACAAATTTTATTTATTAATAATATTTATTCAATAATGTTTAAATAATTATTTTTTAAGCAAAATAGTACGTAACTATTCGTATTATTTATCGTAATTAATTTGTAATTAATATGGATACAAAATGTATTTGCCGACTCTGTGGTAAACAAGTATCAAAAACACTTATTAATATTTTTGATCCTGATAATAATTTCGACAAGCAAATAAATGCACTACTGCCAGTTTATGTAAGTATACATTCATTTTTTTACCGGGTGCTTATAATTGTGTGAAAAAAATTCTTTTTAATTAATTACAATCGTTTATGTGAAATTTTATAATTTATAGAAAGTTGAATGGTTTGCTGAGAATTTCTATGGTGAAATCTTTACAAGTTAGCTTATTACTTGACATTTTAGAACTACAAATTGTCAAGAAATAAAACTTTTCAAACCAAAATCAAAATATTCTCTAGAGCTGATATTTTATTCGAAAAAAGTGCTTTTTTTAAATAATTCATTTCAATTACTTGTTACGAAAGATTTTACAGAAGTTTAAAAAAAAATTTGCAATATTGACCTCTCGCTACCCAAAACCTAAACGAATATTTGCACATTTTTTGGAATTAATTGATGTCTACCATTTTTCAAAGAAAAAAATTTTTGAAATTAAAAAAAAAAACTTTGGACTTGATTTAAATATTTTCTTATTTAAAAAATACTTTTCCAAATTAAAAAAAATTGAACATGAATAATTTTTGCAATATTGAAGCTAGCTAAATTAATAATCTGTTGATTTTTTTTTTTTTTTAACAATTTACCGAAAAATAAAAAAAAATTACAAGGATAGAAAATTCAATAATATTTAGAAATTGATTTACTTTTTTGTGGAAACCAAACAATTCTAAATTATTGTTATTTTTGACATTATTAAATTTTTTTCAATTTTTCGAATTAAAAAATTTGAAAATTCTTTAACTTTTTACGACTTGAATAGTTAAAATATCAATTTCTAAAACGCTCTTGAAAAAAATCGACGATCTTATTAGTTATCTAATGTACAGTTAGATTTTCTTGAATGACCTGTTAAAAAAAAAAAAAAAAAAAAAAAAACTTTCAGACGTAGAATTTTTATTTTACGTATTTCTGTAAAATATTAACGGAGAAAGTGTAAAACTAAATATTGTTACAGTATTTATAAATCAAACTTTGTTAATTTCCTCATAAATTAAAATCATTAAGTTATAAATAAGTTTCATATAAAAAAATAACTGAAGAATTTCAATTTTCAGGTCCACGAAGATGATTGTCTTCCAAAATACATGTGTAACGATTGCCACGACAACGTGCTAAAATTTCACAAATTCTACCTGACAACTTTAGAAACAGACATCGAATTAAAAAGCCAACTTCCATGGATGCAGAAGCAAGTCGAGGAGACACACGACGGCATTCCGATGGTCCAGTACCTGAATAGCAAGACTCTAGCGATAGCGACAGAGTTAGAAAATTACAACTGCTATAGCACAAAACTTCCAGAGTTCGATTTGATAAAAACAATAGATTCAAATCTAGTATCAGTAAATTCCTGTCCATGCTCATACTCGTGTTCAAGCTGCCTGCATGTTAACATCGAGGATTCTAATGCTTTTGACTCGAATATCGACGAGCTTTCTGATTCCAACAATGAGATCGCGGTCGATCCGCTGGCTCCAGAGACACCGGTCGACGTCAAAAACCTTAGTCCTCTGAATAATGTTATTTGTACCGAGAGCAAAGTCGATGTTGCACCTCCCGACGTTAAACCAATCGAGAGCTTTCATCGTACTTTGAGACCTCGCCAGAAATCAACCGAATTACCTCCGAAAAAATCGTCGCTCAAGTCTAAAGTACGTAAGGGCAAGAGAAAAGTCCATTTTTCTATAAAGTCAGTGATACAAAAGAATTCCAAGGATAAAAATTTGAAGATTGATAGCAAAGTATGGCAAAGAGTTGAGATTAAAACTGAGAGGCTGGAGAAGAATTTCAAGTTTGATGATAAAAATTTACGTAGAAAAAATAAAACTGAATCGCTGGAGACAAATAATAGTGTAGTAAAAGTTGATGGAATAGTCAATTGCGACGAATTGAAATTAAAAAATGATCTTGATAACGAAAGAATAACGAATCATGGCCATATAAATAAATTATTTGAACGCACTGATAGTCTTAATAAAACGATTCTTAATGATAGTATTATTAATAGTAATAGCAATGATTTGACCGTAAAACCAAACTTAACGAACAAACCGATTATTATTAAGAAAGAATGTATGAATGAGTTGAATTTAATGGATGTTAGTGTTAAGTTAGAGAAAATATATATTAAGAATGTAGACGATAAGCGAGAGTTAGAAAGGATTAGACGACCGTCAATTGACGTTAAAAGTATTTGCAAGGAAGCTAAAGTCGGTAGAAGAAATTCAGCTGGCGGGAAAAAGCGCAAGAGAAAGAGAAAAAAACTTAACAAACAACTGACTAGTAATAAGAAGAATAATGCTAAAGTAAATATTAATAATCTGTATGAGACTCTTAATTTATCTTCGTCTTCCGGGAGGGTAGAGTGCGATCTCTGTAAAAAATCATTTGCTACTCGGGAAGTATTTAATTTACATTATTGTTGTAATACTTGATTCACCGAGATTAATTAATTGATTTGTTGTTAATTGTACGAAGCTTTATTTGTTTGGATACAAAGTTATTTTGAATTGCATTAAGTGCTTTCAAAGTTTATTTTAAAGTTTCTCAATGAATTTTTTATTTGAATGTTTAATTTAATATAAGGTATACTTTTTTTGTGTAAAAAAATCAGAACGCAGATGATGAAATATATAATAGACGAGTAGAGCTCGAGTGCGATTGTATTGTTACGAAACATGTTTTTTGTACGTAACATAACACCTATTTTTTTACTTGATTATGTTTATTAAAAATATTAATTTTTAAATTAATAGTTAATAATTTATATGTATAATGAGCTTTAGTATATTTCTGCTTTATTTACTTGATTTAAATTTCTGTGATGGATAATTTTCTCGTATTGTCTTTGTTATAACATAATAAATAAATGTTTCTATTAATTTGCATATGTATCTAGTAATAGTTAAGGAATAATTATTTTTGCATATTTTTGATATCATTGATTGCGATAACAACTTGGTGAATGTTGTAAATTAAATTATCGAACAAATTAAAAGTAATGTCAAGTTTTGGTAATGTATGTGAAGAGTCATTTTGTAATTTAACTGATACAACCTTTGAACAAGTGTATAAAATTACCGAGGTATAATGTTCTACTCGCTACATTAAATTCTATTAATTTTTTACTTAACTTCAGTGTTTTTTTTATCCTATTCATTGTAGGAGTATTTATTTATTTTAAGATATTAGTCATTAGTTATTATAAAAAGCATACTACTTATGTATTCTGACAAAAATAATGATTTTGTTTATATAATTGTTTAGCTAAGTCATAAGAAAAATTATCAAACGAGTGCAATAATTTTTTTGCTGGCATTGACTTTGAAAAATGTTTTACATTGCTATAATAATCTAATCTGTAATTTTTACTATTTCAGAATTTTTTACACAAGCTACAGATTTTAATCCGTTCCGAATTTTAGGTATGGAATATTTAATCGCAGTTGCTGAGCAAGTTTTAGCATAAAATTTAATACAATATATTATTTATCTGGAGTATTAGCTTTCATATTATCAGATTAAAATGATATTCATATTGTATGAGGCTATTGGATTGCTGATAAGAATGATGACCCTCACAAATGCTGTGAACCGTGTGGGCGGTGAAAGGTAATGTAATCCACACTGAAAAAAAAAAATAGCATTTTTTTTATCTAGAAATTAATTCGTTGAAAATTTTCAAAAACTTTATTTTTTAGCTGAAGAAAAAAATTTTTAAAATTTTCAACAAATCAATTTCTTTTTACAAAAATGCCCATTTTTTCAAAATAAATTTTTTCTCTCAGTGCCTAGGTAAAGTTAACATTGATGATTTAATTAATTAGTAAAAATTTACATGATCTTTGAGAAATATGAAGAATGTTTACTTCTTAGTACATTTTTATTAAAGTTTTGATAAAAATTTGACTTTACTCATCCTTATGAGTCATTGCAAATTAACGAGATTTTTTAAAATCTACTAATAATAACTTTTTTAAATCAAAGTAACAAATTAAATATTTTAACAATACACTGAGAGAAAGAAAAATTATTGTCTAGAAAAGAATTTCTTCAGTCAGAAATTTATTGAAATGAACCATTTAAATTTATTTAAATAATTTATACAATAAAATATACTTTCAGTAATTATTAAGAATGAATATTTTTATGCAAAGAAAATTTTCTTAATTTTTTTTTCTCTCAGTAACTAGTTTCCAAGACAATTATATACATAATAATAATAATAATATTATTATTATTGTCTGAAACATAGATTAAATAAAAATTTATTAAGAAATTAACTTTCTTTGTATTTAACTACGCTCCAGTTTAATTGTTTACTCAATACAAAGTAATGATTGAAATTTTGCTTATTTAATCTAAAATAAGCTGATCTTACATAAAATAAGTAATTAATTCAACTAAAATTAAAGAATAAAATTTATTTTAAAATTTATTCCTTTAAAATAAAAATAATTTTAACACTCGTTTTCCTACATAAAAAAAAATGTCATGTTCAAGTCTATTTTATGTTTTCTAGAGTCAATTGAGTTCAAATTTTAACAATTATTTAATTATCATCTTCATTAAACTTTACCTATAATCGTCTTATTGTAGTAATTCAATTAAAAACCTAAACACAGCTCCTGTTACAAGCGGAGCTGAATTCTAAATTCCAATTTTAAAAGGTTTTCTCTCTTTGTATTGTCCTTAGTAAAACACATGTTTTTCTTCTTAACTAAGACCGTAATATTGTTTGTACTATCCCTAGTAAAATAAGGAGTCCTTTGTACAACTAAAGTACCTAAGGTCATAAAATCAAGCCTTTTCAGGCTTTCTTATTCTAGCTGCACAAATGTGCCTTAAATGTGTTTTTCACATTTCCAAACTAATAAAATAAGCTATTTTTCTAAAATAAATATTTCTGAGAACAAAATATCTAAAATATAAATTTTATAAAACTAAAAGTTTTGTAACTGGAATTTATTTTTGCTCAGAGAATCCAGCAATATCAGCAAGTATAAGCGAGGGTTGTTGATCTGTGACAGAGATGACATTAGCTAATATATCTGATGAAGATGATCACTCGCAAGATATAGTTTGTGCTATTACTCTCCTTCTCACTCGATAGTTCTGTTTCTATCGCTTATTCGCTTTTACTCATGGTTATCTTCTTTTACTTAGCTAGTTTATCGATCATTTCTGAAAGACTATGTTGCCAGGGGTCTAAATTATTTAGAATTATTCTATTCTAATCAGTTTTTTTTTTTTTTTTGTTTTAAAAAGGTATTTGATTTTCAATATTATCAATCAATATATTACATACGTAATAAACATCTTTAGAACAACTTAAACGTTAAAAAAAAAATTTTAGGTAATTGAAAATGATTTTTTTGCACAGGCGGAATGGAAAAAGAATGAGAGAATCACGAATTTTTATTTTTTTAGTGTTCAAGGGATTTTACAATCGTTTCTAAAAAAGTATGAATTTTATTTAAAAAAGACTGCTTAACTTATTTTGAAAATTAATATTCAATAATATTAAATTTTAATCTGATATAAAAATTAAAACATCTTCCTCCATAGTATTATAATAATTGGTACTTGTACCTATGAAAAAAAATTTTATAAAAAATTCCAATTTTCAAATCGTAATCTAGGACCAGATTTTCAATATTTCCACTTTTATAATTTTCAATTAAAAAATTTACGGATGTTACAACGTAAAAATGTCTGTAACTAAAAGTCGAATTAAGAAATAATTTTTTTCAGCTTTTATAATATTATTAACTAATTATGAATATATTACTTAAATTAAGTTACCATATCATTGGTTTATTATGTCTGTTGGGTTTTAATAAAGAAAACATAGAATTAAAGAAAATAACAGTAATCAATTTTTGCGATTTAATGTCGTACATTTTTTATAATGTAAAATTATAGAAGTGAAGATATTCTAAATCTGGTCTTAGATTACAATCTGATAATTGTAATTTTTCCGTGAATTTTGAACAAAATTATTTGAATTTATAGCTCGAGAATTTTTAGTTTTATCCAAGTACTATTAATTTCATTAAAACATGTTCAAGTAAAAAATTAAATGATTAAGGTAAAAGACCCAGTTATTGACACCGGCCTAGTTGTTTGACACTTGCAATTTTATTCTAATTAAAAACAATAAAATGTTCTAAAAAAATTAATAATTTTATTTATAATCCAAAAATTATATTTGTTAATTTATTTAAGTTGATTTTTTTTATTTTAATTAAAATGTAAACTATTTTAATAGAAGGTCAAGTTACATTCATAGAGTTTTGTTTCACGTAATTAATTATCATAAGGACGATATATAAATTGTATACCACTCATATGTACATAATAGTATTTGATAAAGTTAAATATGTATTATAATTAGTGCACTTTTTCCTAAGAAGTCTCAAATATTAAATAAATACATAAGGTAAAGTACCCAGTAGTTGAACAGGTTTCAAAGTAAAACGTATTTGACCCTACTTTTAATATATAAATATGTAATTATTAGTTCAAATTAGTGATTTTCATGAAAATATAAACAATTTTGAATTGATTCAAGTGCAAAATAACGCAAATAATTCAATATTTATAATTTAAGTATTATTTAGAAAAGACTATTTCATTGAGTGGTACAATTTTTCTTAAAATGATGATTTACCGTTTTTTTTTTTTTACTGATTGTTCGGTTTACGGTTTAGTACCTTATTCATGAAAAAAATAGCATCTATTGGCGATTCTCGACATGTCAACTTTTAAGTTAATAAAAATATAATTGTTTTGATTTATAATTGAAAAAACTTACCAAAATCAATTACTGTATCATTGAATAAATATAACATGCGCATATTACTCATAATATATATACAGATTTTGTATTACAACAATTCTAAAAGTCTGTTCAACTACTGGTCCCATTTTTAGAAGTGTTCAAGTACTGGGTACTTTACCTTACTTTTAATTTCATTAAAACATGTTCAAGTAAAAAATCAAATAATTAAGGTAAAAGACCCAGTTATTAACACTTGCAATTTTATTCTAATTAAAAAAAATAATGTTCTCAAAAAACGAAGTATCTTAAAAATTTATAATTAAAAAATTATATTTGTTAATTTATTACTTAATTTTTTTTTTAATTAAAATAAAATTTTAAGTGTTAATTACTGGGTCTTTTATCTAATTAAATTTTAATGTCAACACACAGAACTGAATGGTCAAGTCACATACATAGAATTTTGCTTCACGTAATTAGTTATTATATGGATAATAAACAAATTTTATAACACTCATACATATGTACATAACAGTATTTGATGTAACTAAATATATATTTCAATTAGTTCACTTTTTCCCCAAGTCACAAATGTCAAATAAATACATATTGTTAACATAAAGATAAATCTATAGATTTAAAATAAATTCATTTTTAACGATGGGACAGTAATTATGAAGTAAAGATCAATAACTTAATTATAATGAAATTATGTAATTGGAAAAAATAATTACATCCATTAAAATATGATTAATAAAGAAAAAACTAGTATACTCTTCAAGATATAAGAGATGATCAGATTTTAGTCTATAAACATTTAAAAATATGATTAAGGTAGTTCCAGCATGAAATCACTTTTCGACAGATTCGGCTGAAAATTTTTTTATGGGTTCAGAATAGCTTTATTTATAAATTCTTAAAATTTCATAATTTTTTACCGTTTAGATCGCGAGATATTTAAAGTCAAAGTTGGCGATTTTGAGGGTCATGTTCCATTTAAAGTATGTAAAATGTCCGGTCTCTCCAACTATTTTTTATTATATTAAAAAATTCTCTCGACAGAATTGGAAAAAAAATTAGGAGAGTGTTGAAAAATGTTTTTAGAATAAGTTAAAAAAATAAAAGCAGCACCTCACCGTTTCGTTATCGAGATATAATAATTAAAAAAAATAATTTTCGATCCATTTCTAACCTGCTCATCGAACAATTTATAGTGATCCGGCAACGCTCCCTGTAATAGTGTAGCATAAAAAGCGGGAAATTCAAATCTTTCACGGTTTTCAAGAGCAACGTTGCCAGATCACTAGTACTGACAATATGTAATTGTATATGTGAACGTCTGTGTGCCGAGGCTTTAAAATTTTGGTCTATAGTAAATGTTCTGACTATACTATACCACACTGGAACTACGTTAAATTTAATAAACTTAGTAAGTTTATACGTGTTGAAAAATTTGGTGGCCCTGAAAAGGGCCGTTTGGTAGATTTAAATTTTCGTCTGAAGGTTATGAAATTTACTTAGAGCTGGTGTATTTAGTGACGGCTTTGGTTCCCTCACTGACAGCGTGCTTGGCCAATTCACCGGGCAACAGAAGACGAACAGCTGTTTGAATTTCCCGGGAGGTGATGGTAGATCTCTTGTTGTAGTGAGCCAATCTAGAAGCTTCAGCAGCGATACGTTCGAAGATATCGTTGACAAAGCTGTTCATGATGCTCATGGCCTTGGAAGACACACCAGTGTCAGGGTGAACTTGCTTCAACACCTTGTAGATGTAGATAGCGTAACTTTCCTTCCTCTTCTTCTTGCGACCCTTCTTGTCAGACTTGGTGATATTTTTCTGAGCTTTGCCGGATTTCTTCACGGCTTTTCCACTAGTCTTAGGCGGCATGATGAGAGTTGGTACCAATTATTACCAAGTTGATCAAATAGTGAAAACAATAAACTTAGATAGCTGGAGAGTGACTGTGCGTTGCCTTACTTTGAGTTTTTTTTTAAAAGAGAAAGGAAGGAGATTCACCATGCGTGGAATACGATGGCAGCAAAGTGGGGAGAATATACGCGATCTAATTCATCCGCGAGCTTCGATGACAATAACAACAATGGTAACGCCCATCGGAGCTAGCGGGCCAATGAGATTAGAGTTATTGTCCCCCACTTTTTTCCACACTGTTCGCTCAAGCGCAGGCTCTTATGAAAAACACATATAAAGAATGGCTTAGCACGGCAAACTCACAATACTCTCTAGAGCTCGCTCTGATCATTCAGTTTCGCTCCGTTCAATCTCTCTCTTATCAATCATGTCTGGTCGTGGCAAAGGAGGCAAAGTAAAGGGAAAGTCAAAGACCCGTTCCAGCCGTGCTGGACTCCAGTTCCCGGTAGGACGTATCCATCGTATGTTGCGTAAGGGAAATTACGCAGAACGTGTTGGTGCCGGTGCTCCAGTCTACCTCGCCGCTGTTATGGAATACTTGGCTGCTGAAGTCTTGGAGTTGGCTGGCAACGCCGCTCGTGACAACAAAAAGACTAGAATCATCCCACGTCATCTTCAGCTGGCCATCCGTAACGATGAGGAATTAAACAAACTTCTCTCTGGAGTCACCATTGCTCAAGGAGGTGTCTTGCCCAACATTCAGGCTGTTCTCTTACCTAAGAAGACTGAAAAAAGCAGCTCTTAAATTAAATTCTATAAATTCACAACAAACGGCCCTTTTCAGGGCCACCACATTTTTCAATACGTATAAAATTTGAAAGTTTAACAACATGAGTTACCAGTATTATTAAGTTGCAGCCAATATCAATATTCATTGTAACATTACTCTATAAAATTAATATCAATTTTTTTTTTTTTTTTTTTTTTTCATTTGAAAATTCTCTTTATTGATATTTCAATTCTTTACAATGTTGAGGTTTATATATTATTCATGTAAGTATTCCCATTACAAAGTGTAATTTATACTCTAAATTAATGGATTTTAAGTGTTAGTTTAAGTATTAGCGTTTTTAGAGGTTTGTGTATTTGATTTTGAGTAAAAAATTTAATAAAAAACTCATTAGATATTAGTATAATCTTAGATCTAGACTTAGGAGCTAACTTATGCTAAATTACAAAAATATATACAATATTTACAATTTGTACAGGTAATAAATAATATATTTGTTTATTTAGGTAGTAAAATACTGTGTGGTAATTTATATTTAATTTTAAAAGGAGCTGTGTCCGCAGTATACGTGCCTATATTATTTAATATTTCATGTTGTTTAACTCTGGTGTTATAAAATTTAGATGCTCTATCATATATTTCGTCGTAGATATCAGTGATGTTAAACTTGGTTCTTATTTGTTTGTTTGATGTTCTTAGATCTCCATTGTAAATCTGTCTAAGGGTTTTGTTTTGTATTCTTTGAATTTTATATATATTGGTTTTGGTGATATTGCTCCAAATAGGGCTTGCATAGTTGATAATTTGCTATTACTTTTAATAAGAGGGTATAATAAGTTTTTAATTTGGTTTGCTTTTGAACAGGTTTTTGAGATGTGTTGATTATGTGATAGTTTGTAATCTAGTGTCATTCCTAAGTATTTTACTTCTTTGCTTGGTTTGATCGCTGTGTTATTTATATTAATTTCTAGATTATTTTCATTTCTATTAATTTTTTTGTTCCTGTGTGTGAATATTATAAGTTCTGTTTTAGTTTCATTAATTTTGATTTTCCATTTGTTGAAAAATTTAATAAAATTATTTAATGTGTTTTGGACTTTGTCTAGAGCATATTTTTTATTACTTGAACCTTTGTAAATGGCTGTGTCATCTGCAAAAAGGGCTGTGTTTGTCATGTCGTCTTTTGGTATGTTATTAATGTAGTAGCTAAACAGGACGGGTCCAAGGATTGAACCTTGTGGTACCCCAGCTGCGATATGCTGTTTGTCGGATATGGCATCATTAATTTTTACAGTAAAATATCTATTTTTTAGATAATGGAGTATGATTTTAATTATGTAGAGTGGAATGCTTAATGTTTGTAATTTATAGATTAAGTCTTGATGCCAAATAGTATCAAAGGCTTTTTCTATGTCTAATAGCACCATTGCTGTGGAGTGTTTGATGTTAAAGTTGTTACTGATATAATTCGTTATTCTGGCTAGTTGCTGTACTGTACATTTTCGTTCTTGGAATCCGAACTGTTCATCTATTACTGTTTTATTATTTTTTTCAAATTCTTTAATTCTATTTAAGATGATAATTTCAAAGATTTTGCTTAAGGTGGGTAGTAAGCTGATAGGACGGAAGTTTTGTGGGAATTGTTTTTCTTTTCCTGGTTTGGGAAAAGCTAGTATTTGTGCTTCTTTCCATAATATCAAATGATTCTGAAAAATTATTTAGCTCCAAATTCAAATCGATTTTATTAGTTTCTTGATAAATTATTATTTACATATATTTTATTTAACAGAATTCTATAAATAATGAAGTAACAAACGTAGTTATTATTATTTTTATATTAGATACATTTTATTGAATGTTACTATTTCTTTCGATTACATTGTTAAATTATAATCAGCTTACAAAACTTGAATTAATAATTAGGAAAATTATTCTTGGTCCATTATTAGAATTTAACTTATTTAAACTCTATATATAGTAAACTATTAATATTGTGTTATAAACATATGTAATTATTTTGATACTTGTGATTTAGGGAAAAATGAGTAAAAAAAAATCATATTTAGGAAAAACCAATCGTTATAGAATTTTTAACTTAAATTATATAGGGTAAATGCACCAATTATTGACCGATTAAGGTTTTCTTTTTCTGTACTAAGCTATAAAAAATCTATCAACCTACTAAAAACAATTTATAATGGATTTTATTAAAGTTAAATACTTAATTAATAATAATTAATAACTATTTATAATAAAAATTAACAAAATTATATTAATTTTGTTATTTGAATTTTGAAATACCAAAATCACCAATTATTGACCGAAGAAACCCAATAAATAACCGACCGTTCTCCAATTAATTATAAGTAATCTTGTAAACTACATGTATGTAATTAAATTTATGTAGTACTTTTGAAGTATAAACGACATCTTTAACAAAACTAAACATACAATATAATTTTAAATCGTACTTTTTTATAAAATAATATAAATAATAGCAACAATTAACATAAAGTCACATTTCTTTAGGTCACAAATAATCACAAATTCATTTTTATGACGATAATTCTTCTGATTCACTTGAAATTTTTTTATTCTTCTTTTTTTCAATTAAAGCTTTTTTATTAGCTTATTGTAACTCTTTTTTATTTTTTTAATTGCTCAGCAATTTTTT